CTCAAAAACCTCGAAGTCAATGTTGTTATCTAGCAACAGATTTTGCAGTTTGGCAATGTAATCCGTAAGAAGCTCGATCTCACGGGCTTTCCCTTTCAATATGTCCATGGCTGCAATGAAGCGGCGAGTTCTGGTCATATTCATGTGTTGAACTCGGGCTAGCACTTGATGTTTCTCAAGGAACCAGGGGGACACGGTAATCTGTTGTCTTTCCCTCAACCGAGCATTCTCCTTCTCCAAGACAACCAGCTCACCATGGGTTTCAACCTCGAAAGTCAGTGAATCACCGTAGTCTTTCAAACTTTGAGCTTCCCGACGCTGCATCTCCTCACGAAGTTCTTTAATCTCATTTATTAGATGCTGATTAACTTTCACATTATGCGTCCTCATTGCATCGAGAAGGTCATTCTCTAGGTTTGCCACTGTCTTGATACTGTGCACGTCGGCACGACCTCTTAGAATTCCGCTAATCATGGAATCTAGCGGGTACTCACTCGATTGCTCCTTCGATAGAACCATGAGGTGAACACGGTGGACGGGCCAACTATCCTGCTTCACAAGAAGAGTGTAAGATGTTTGCATCAAACCAAAAAAAAAAAAACAAAAAAGGCGATGCTTGTATAAGTACACAAAAGAAAAAAAAATGGAGTAATCAGTTCATTACAAAAAACAGTAGTTCAATAAGCCTAGCAGTATTACAAAAGGCAGGATTCATACAGCATCACTGCCAGGAGGGTGATCCTTGGAGGGGTTCCTCTGCACTCCAGAGTGACCAGTGTCGGCAACATCTTCCTCGGTGGCCTCATCGGCATCCTCGAGCTCAATACCCATGTACTCATCCGGTACGTCAGGTATAGAGTCCTCTTTGCTTGGACCCTTGGCAAGGATGGCGGGCATGTCGCCAGGAAACGAGGCAATGTCCACTGGAGAACTCATTTTTGCCAGAACACCAGTCAGAGCTCCCCACAGGGATAGCTGCTCGAGGCTCAACTTTGTTAGGACCTTCACTATGGCCTCGTGATGGTCTTCTTCGGGTCCTTTATCAGGAGTTGCTTGAACCATTTGGCTTTGATCGGCCTATCTTGATCGAGCCTCTTCAGACCTGCCACGCCGATCCAATGCGCACCGCACTTAGTGGCAACCAAATTCATCTCCTCGAGGACTGCAGCCATCCCTCCTGTGGACAACTTCTTGTACATGAATGCCACACACCACTAGTGCAACTCCTCTTTCGAGATGTGCAAGCTAGCAAAGGACTTCATCTTCTCATCCAGCTCGTCATACTTGGCTTGCACCAAGGCAATCTCAGCCTCTTTAGCTTGCACTTGGCGGGCCTTTTCCTTGAGAGTCACTACCTCGAACAAAGCCTCGTCTCTCTCAGATCGAGCTGTGACCAGGTCCTCTCGCAGTTTCCTTAGCTGCACCAAATAGACCATCAAGGCCGCCCTTATCTACACCAACGTAACACATTAGGAACATATTGATGTGGTACTGGTTCGTAGTAAACATTCATTTGCAACAGGAAAAAATTACTTACCAGTCTCAGACTGTTAGCCTCGTTTAGCTGAGCAGCAAATTCTTCGAGGACCGGACACTCGATAGACGGTGGGTTGCTGAAGGTGTGCACGGCTACGGACGGACCTCCCTCGAACAGTTGAGGGGGCAAGGTAATCGCTTTTCCCTCGAGGGGGCCCTTGCCTTTCTCTGGTCCAGGGGGAACGAAACTTGGCCCAGTTTCCGCTGGAGGATTTTGAATAGTCTCAGTAACATGGGGAACCGTCTCGTCGCCTGGGGCTGCAGTTTCTTTCGAAGGCGCCTCCGATATGGCCTTCTTGGATTTCGCTCTGTTACCAGCCTTCACGGTCCTCTTCTTCTTTTTCTTCTGCCCAAGGGCTGCAGTGATGGAAACATCCTCATCTGAATTCACAATAGTAAAGGGATCTTTGTCACCAAACAATCGAGAACCAGCGTTGCTTGAAGACATGACCTAAAAACAGATAAGAGAGAAGCAAATGATTAGTACCTTTGTTTTCTCCAACAGGGGTTTCGAGAGAAATTCTGGTTGAGATCTCGACATTAGCATTCTCATCGTCCTTCTCCTCAGTAGATACAGAGGGTATGTAATATTGTATGTCGTTCCATTTAATGACCTTCGAATATTTCAGGACTTTCTCCATATCTGCATCAAGCTCCTCGATGCACTTATCGTCTTCTTGGGTCCACTCATCCTTTATCGCTCCAAGACCCTTCGTCTCTCGATGGTTCCACGCTAGGCAATAGTTCTTGGGTGCCCTTACAAACAAGAAGTCCGGCTTCCATTCAGGAGAGCCGCCATATTCCTCGACCATCTTTTTAACGCCGGCTCTAAAGCGTCTCTTCACAATATACCAATCTTGGAAAGAGGTCGAGGCAACAACTACTTGGAAGAAATACCTCCACAATATCAACCGAGACTTCACTTTTACATGTTGGCGTACTTTTACAAATCCCAGAACAAAAGTTATTAAATTTAGGGTAAAACAAGCAAGGGGAGTCTTATAGTGCTGCACAATCTCCTCGAATAGAGGAAAGAGGGAGAATCTAAGCATTAGATGCATAAATCGATCATACACAGTAATTCTTCCCTCAGGAGGAGAATTAGCCTTCTCGTTTCCTAACGGGGCTCTCGCCTCTTGGTCTGAAGGAAGGTCGTATCTGGTTCTAACGTTTTCTACCTTATCAAGAGAATCTATGGTGGAAGCAAAATCATCAACGGTTTTTCCCTCAGAATCTCTAACCATGGTTCTGTTACAAATCTACCCTGACTGTAATCTGAAAAGAAAAAGAGTTTGAATGAAACCGGAGATGGTCAGATCTGAAAACTTAGTATTGGAGGAGGGAATGACCACTCGCCCTTCGAGTTGTAACTTCCCAGTGTTCTTCTGAATCCCTGGTAGCAAGTCTCCTAATGGTAACGTCGCTGGGGCAGTGTATTAGGGAAGACTATGAATATTCCGGCAAGGATGGTCGGAGAATTTTGACAAGGAAAGAGAAATTGGGTTTTTGCAGAGAGACAAAATGAAAGAGGAGCGGTGGAGTCTTCTTCTTAAAAGTAAAGATTATTCTCCCACGTCTCCCTAATTACAGCCCACGATATGGCAGTTAGGGCGAGTTTCAAGGGAGTAATGATGGTAAAGCCGCCGTTTGGGGAACGTGCCCACTAACAACGCACGATTAAAAATTTGGGCGGGACTATGAAACGGGTCGCCTTCCCGGGTCAAGACTTAACCCGCTGGTTACACCCGGGCTTACAAGATCGAGAGTTGTGCATTTGAGTCGAGGCCACTTGACACATTACTCGACAACCTCAGCTGAACGAGATTAGCCTATCCACTCTCGGACTTGTTCCGGGTAACACTTACTTTGTACCAAGCGTTGTTTATCTTATACAACTAACACTTGACAGGGCACTTGACGAGTCCATATCCATCACCGAGACTGGACCGGCCCATCAACCGAAAGAAGAGTCCAATCAGGTCTCTTAAGGCGGTTTAGGTTCCCGAAACCTAATAGGACTCAGGGATTTCTCAGGTATTCTCATACCTATAAATAGGGTTACTCATGCCACAATACAGGTACGCAATCTATAGCTTAACACACTGCATACCTAAACGTTTCAGCAACCCTTTATTGACTTAAGTATCGGAATGTCTACCCTCGGGAGACCTCCGAGACTCTATTTTGCAGGAAACCCTAACCAGAGTTCCACTGTTAGAGCGGTGGCGCGAAACCAAGCTTCGTCAGTGGCACAACCAAATGAGGCTCTGATTTGGATCCAGTGAATTTCAGCGAGGAAGAGAGACTCCGACGTCGTCGTAGATGAGAGAATAAAATTGCCAAATTGCGGCCGATCTGGTGGTGGAGTGGGATTATGAACTTTGTTCTCTATTTCTTGGATTCGTGGTTGAAGTTCCCCTTTTCAGCCGGAAATGAATCATAAGTTCTTTTGTCTGATTGAATTTTAATAAACAAAAGAAATTGGGAAACTGATGAAGGATTTTGTTTTTTAATTAAATATTATCATAAATTTCATATATAATAATTTGGATACGCCGACTAGATTGACCTATAAATAGAATTAATAGTGGAGTTGAATTACTAAAGTAAAATATCATTACTAAATACTCCATAAAATAGGTAGGTTCTGGGGAAAAAAAAAAAAACTTTTAAGGACTAATTTATCAATGTACATGATATTCTAAACCTATGTGTACTCATTATAAAAGAAATTTAGTTTAGATAGGTTTCAAGTACGTTAAGAAAGTTCATGAACAAACTTATATAAAATAATTATCAATAGGTAAAAGAAAAAATTACAAGGAAAAATAACAAAGAAATGATCGCACCCATCTATTTTAAAAACTTTCTAGACGGGGTTTAAATACCCACTCTGTCCCAAAAGTATTGTCCAGTTTGAGATTTCACTTTTAGTACAATGTGAATTAGAAATGAAAATCCAAACTGGACAATAATTATGGGGCGCAGGGAATATTTAAAATTAGGGTCTAGTTTAGATGTTTGATAGATCATCTTTATAATTTTCATTGTCATTTTTTTCCCTGTACATATCATTACTCATTAGAATTATATAGTTTGATTTAGTGTTTATGAAACAGATGAAACAAACATAGAGATGTCTTTTGCAAAATATCTAAACACACGTTTGGGTTGTCAAATTCCAAAATATCTAAACACAATTATCGAGAATCAACTAGAGAGATCGGGTGACATATGGTTGTCTTTTGCAAGAAAATGAAATCTCAAGTGAGAAAATTCATTTGCGGGAGACAAAAATTATTGATCAGTTTTGTGTTTAGTGTCTTAAATTGTCAGTTGTATTTGGAGCTTATTTTGTGTTATTTGAGCCAGTTTTAGTTTGAAAGTTTCATTTTTTGTAGACAACCAAAACCAATGTAATTTTATAACAATCTTTAGATAAAATAAATCTCATAACTCTAATTTTATAAATGTAATTTTCAGAATGGGACTATTTTTGCCTTGTGAGATGGAGCATCAATTAAAGTACTAATACAACCTTCCAAATTAGAATATACAGTGCAAGTAAAGAAGATTAGTGAACCATAAACTGAAAGATTAAAGACTTTAAAAACTACCTTCGAATTTTATGATGCTTACTTTGAAGATGGCGACCCAACATTTGGGAGTGTGGTATCCTACCAAACAGTATATCCCGGTTGATAGAATCACTAATTCACTATAATAGGAAGAGTTTCCAGTACTACTTTCTCTGCACTCCAGCCGCTATTGCTTTCTGTATTGCTCTCTCAGCCTCCTGCTTGTCCTCTGTCTCTCAGGTTAGCTTTCTCTGTCAATCTATGCATCTGGGTTCTTTCTGTTTTTTGAAGTAGAACTATAGAATGAATGTTGCGATAATAATACTATCGGGATTGTTAGCTCTAAGGTTTGTGAATTAGTTTCTATTGAATTTATTGGCAAAGTGTTGTGTTTGTCATCTTCCTTTGATGTCTTTTTATGTTTCCTTGATTGTATTAAAGTGAGTATAATAAAGTTGCAACGATGGACGTGACGTACATATAGTACAAAAAGAATGCTATTTTAAAAGGTTCTGAAATATATATATATTGACAAGGAGTAAGAAAAAACTGGACTCATTGTTCCAGTTGTGTTTCCTGTATTCATCAATCACCTCTTGTCGAATCTTTTTTATTTTATTTTTATTTTTTTATTACAAGCTGTTGTCGATTAGATTGCCTTTAATGTGTATGCAAATATGCATATTTGAACATTCGGGTATAAATTTCTCTAAGTAAAGCCAAAAAAATCTTTGATTACTCTAATTAGATACTTTCGAAATCAATGAATAGATCAAAGGGGGAAAAAAAAAGAAAAAAAATCAGATCTCGTATGTTCTTTTAATCTAATCAGAAGTGACTCAAATCAGTGGTCTAAGGAAGAAAACTGAGTCAAAAGGTAAATAATGAAACTTTGCTTGATCTAGTTCCACATTGTTTCTTGACCTGCCAATTGGCCATCTCCCTTTTATAATCGCCTTCTAGTAGCTACTGATGGCTTTGTACGTTTGCTTGTAAAGGGTGGGCGGCTCAACGTTTTGAGGGCCTAAAAGAATTTTGGGTCCTTTTTAAGAGACATGTAAAAAAAAAAAAAAAGATTAAGTTTATCTTTTAAACTTTCTTTCCCTCCAAAATTTTTAATACTGAATTAGTTTTTCTCGTTTTTTTGAACAAATTCTTTGATGAAATTTTCATAATCTAATTCTTTACTAAATTTTTTAATTGATAACATTCATACTTTCCATTTACACATGTAAATAATATTATTTTTTAAGGGTTATATATGGTATTATTAACTATTATTAAAAATTTAAGAATTTAAAACAATTGCCTCACTTGCTTTATGAAAGAGCCACCTTGTGAATAATATACAGGGAAAATCCATGAGCACTCAATTTTGACCCGCGGTAGTTGGCCGCCAAGTTTCTCGCAATGGGTGGTGGTGGTCAATGGTGAAAAAAATTTATTATTATTATTATTAATTTATTTGTTTTTAAAAATTTCAAAAATTATTTCAAAATACATCTTAAAACACACACATACACAAAACCATAAAACACAAAACAAAATATAAATCCAAACGAGCCAAATTTTTAAAGTTTGTGTTTGGAGTTTTGTTTAATGCAATGACATCTACCAATAGTTACTACGCAAGATCCACTATTGGAAAATCCTTAACTAGGTTAGATATAATCTTTACCACAAAAGAATAGTTAGAATGCAATTTTTCATTCTAATTCAGAAAATAAAAATCTATAAATTGAATTAATTATAATTACTCAAACTAAAAAATAATATGAAAAATTGAATAAAATATCATATGTATTTATTTATTTTATAATAGTCTTTTGGATAATATAAATGATAAATCTCATTAAGTCTAATTTTATAAAATGTAATTTTTTTAAATGGGACTGTTTTTGCATGAGATATGGAGCATCAATTAAATAGTAATACAACCTTCCAAATTAGAATATACAGTACAACATAAAAGAATATTAGTGGACCATAAACTGAAGATTAACGACTTATACCTTGGAATTACATGATGTTTACTTTGAAGATGACGACTCAACATTTTGGAGTGTGGGATCCTACCAAAAAGTATATCCCGGTTGATATAATCACTAGAAAAGGAAGAGTTTCCAGTTCTACTTTCTCTGTAATCCAGCCACCATTGCCTTCTGCATCGCTCTCTCAGCCTCTTGCTTGTCCTCTGTCTCTCAGGTTAGTTTTCTGTTTCTTGAAGTAGAAGTACAGAATGGATGTTGCTAATGTTAGTTATGAATGTTGCAATAATAATACTATTGGGATTGTGAGCTCAAGGTTCGTGAATTAGTTTCTGTTGAATTTATTGGCAAAAAGTAGTGTTTGTCATCTTCCTTTGATGTTTTTTCATGTTTTCTTGATTGCATTTAGGAGTAAGCGAAAACATGGTGTTCAGAGTTTTGTGTTTCCTTTATTCATCAATCAGCTACTGTAATGTGTATGCAAATATGCATGTTTGAACATTCGGGTTAGATATTTTCGAAATCAATGGAAAAAAAAAGAAAAAAAAGAAAAGCATGATATCTTGAATGTTCTGTTACTCTAATCAGAAGTGACTTAAATCAGTGGTTTGAGGGAGAGTCAAAAGGGAAAATAATGAAAGTTTGCTTGATCTAGTTGCTTTTATAATTGCCTTCTAATAGCTGCTGATAGTATTGTACGTTTGCTTGTAAAGGGTGGATAATATACAAAGAAAAAATGCCATGAGTACTCAAAGGGTTGCTGTAATTGGCGCTACAAATGACGGTTCTCCTGATAGGTAAACACTTCTTCAGAATTGAATTTTAAGATTTTTGAAATGCAATGTTTTGGGAAGCGTGTCTCAAAACCTGCAGTTTGATGTAATTTGCTGGAGTTGTTGCAGAGTTGCAGTTGTTACTGGAGCCAACAAGGGCATTGGCTTGGAAACTGTCCGGCAGCTTGCAACTGCAGGGGTTACTGTTATTTTAACGTCTAGAAATGAGAAGAGGGGAATGGACGCCGCCTCTTTGCTTCACCAAGGAGGATTATCCAATGTAGTCTTCCATCCGCTTGATGTTCAAGACTCCGAGAGCGCGGATGCACTGGCCCGTTATATAGAAAAAGAGTTCGGAAAGCTTGACATTTTGGTATGTGTTAGTAAATTCACGGAAACTCTACTTGTTATTTAATTACCCTCATTACAGTTCAATACTATGTGATTCTTTGATTGCTGCAGGTGAACAATGCTGGCGCAACGGGAGTTGTAGTTGATGAAGATGGTTTAAGGGCCTTGAACATTGATCCTGCGGAATGGGTAATAGAAGAATCCCTTGGAAATTGTCTATAGTATCATTTGCCAAAAACTGATGTAAAACTTGCGATTGCAGCTAGCTGGGAAAGCAGTTAATGTAGTACAAGATGTGATAAAAACCACATATGATGCAGCAAAAGTATGTCTTGATACCAACTATAATGGTGTTAAGCGGGTGACTGAAGCTCTGCTTCCACTGCTGCAACTTTCAACTTCAGGAGCAAGGATAGTCAATGTTTCTTCCCTAAGGAGTGAATTAAAGGTGAGCTCTTTGTGTAAAAAACTTTTGGACTAATGATTTTTCCAACCATTGATTTCATTTTCGGTCTGTGGAACTTGTTCTGACTGCAGCGAGTTCCTTGCGAGCAAAGGAGACGAGAACTTGGGGATATTGAGACTCTAACTGAAGAGCGAATTGAGAAAATGCTGCAACAATTTCTGCACGATTTGGAGAATGATGCTCTTGAAGCAAACGGGTGGCAGAAGATGCTACCAGCGTACAGCATATCAAAAGTGACACTTAATGCCTATACTAGAATTCTAGCAAAGAGATATCCGAACATGCGCATCAACTGTGTTCATCCGGGATTTGTTTATACGGACTTTAACTGGCACACAGGAACCACGGCCGTGGAAGAGGGAGCCGCTGGCCCTGTTATGCTAGCTCTTCTGCCTGAAGGAGGTCCGACTGGTTGTTACTTCGATTGTACAACTATGGCTGAATTTTGAGTTTCCACTCATCCCTTGTGACTTTTACTGCATTGGTGTTTTTTTTTTTTTTTTTTTTTTCTGGAAAATGCCAGAGATGTTGGTGTTTGTCTTGGTTCAAAGTTTTTTTTTTAAGAGGTACCTGTATATTATATAATGGAGATACTTCAACTACTACATCGCATTTGATTGAATGCTAGAATATGTAGTTCTAGTTGATGAGGCAATAAAAGGCTCAAGCCGATTGTTTTTAGTTTCTTTTAGTTTTGGAATAAACATCCTTTTTTTTGGGAAAGATAAGAAGAGAGAAAAAAAATGAGAGAAGATGAGTCTTAATTATCCTTTGATTTTGTTTTGTTTCGATTTAAATGGCGCAATTCAGTGTCATTGTAAAGACACGTGAACGGTAATTTAACAGTTGTTTGGGGATGTACAGGCCATTGAGCCAAAACTCAAAAAATGGATTAGGATTAAAATTGTCATTTCACATATTTTAAAAGGCGCATTTTCGTCCCGTTTCGTTAAGTAATACAACTTTTCGACTATTTATATTTCAAGTCAATTTCTGTCCAACTAACCGTCAATCGCAAGGGCATTTTCATCTTTTAGCCTGGCTTTTTTTTAGTTCTTCATTAATTAAGAATAAAATAATAATTATTTAATGATAAAATTAATAAAATATCTTTTTAAATTTAAAATTTTCTACTCTTTTATCAGGGGGCCCAAGTAATTTAATTTTTTTATTATTTACTACAACAAACTGTAAATATATTAAAATAATAAAAGTTCCAGAAATTCAAAATTCAAAATTTATAAAAGTCAACTCTACAATTTTCAGTTTCTTTCCTCGTTTTTTTTTTTTAAATTAACACTTTGGATACCTGGACCATAACAAATTTTTTAGTATATTAGATTTTCTTTTTGGAGAATTTCACAATTAATTAAAATAATAGAAACATAAGAAAATTTAACAATATTAAAAAGTCTTAAGGAAATTCAGAAAGTTTTTTTTCCCCTGGATTCCTTCTCGTTCTTGGTTTTTTACAAGCAAAGATTCCCATTTTTCACTTTTCACAAACAAAATTATTTCATTTAAATTGCTGAAATATTAAATTAAAAAAATCCCCAAACCTTTCACTTTGCCCTTTTTTTCCTGCAGACTCAAAAATTTCTAACCACAACAGTTTTTCAAATAATGAAAAAATACCCACGTTGACTTGATACTAAATTCGGTCAAAGAGTATGAATAGTGTATAAAAACAAAAAAAATTACATTTTGAAATATAAAGAACCATTTAACCCAATTGTTGATTTAAATGACCAAAATGTACATTTGTCCTAATGTAAAGACAGTTTTTAAATTTTAGTCAATATTTAATTTCTTTTCTCCTATCAATAACAATCACTACCGACCAACATGGACAATCACCGACCACAGCTGAATCACCGCCGAACCACCGTCATTCACCATAAATTCTCTCAATTTTGACCAAAGTAGTCGGGCACCAAGTTTCTGGCGATGGTCGATGGTGGTCAATGGTAATAAAAATATTATTATTATTATTATTATTTTCTCCGTTTTTAAAAATTTTAAAATTTATTTCAAAAGACATTTTAAAACACACTGAATCATAAAACACAAACCAAAACATCAATCCAAATGAGCCATATTTTAAAATTTGTGTTTAGAGTTTTGTTTACCGCAATGAAATCTAACAATAGTTACTATGCAAGATCCCTATTGGAAAATCCTCAACGAGGTTAGATCTAATCTTACCATTAAACAATACTTATTATGCAATTTTTCATTCGTCTAAGAAAAAATAATCTATTCAGAAAATGAAAATCCATAAATTGAATTAATTGTAATTAATAAAATTAAAAAATTAAGATATAAAATTGGATAAAATATCATGTGTATTTGATAATTTTATAATATTCTTTTTAGATAATATAAATCTCATAAGTCTGAAATTTTATAAATTTTAAAATGGGACTATTATTCCATGAGAGATGGAGCATCAATTAATTAAAGTATCAATTCAACCTTCCAAATTAGAATATACAGTACAATAGAAGAAGATTAGTGGACCATAAACTGAAGATTAAAGACTTTAAGTACTAACTTCGAATTCTATGATGTTTACTTTGAAGATGACGACCCAACATTTTGGAGCGTTGAATCCTAGCAAAAAGTACATCCCGGTTGATAAAATTACAAGAATAGGAAGAGTTTCCAGTTCCACTTTCTCTGTAATCCAGCCGCCATTGCGTTCTGCATCGCTCTCTCAGCCTCCTGCTTGTCCTCTGTCTCTCAGGTTAGCTTTCTCTGTCAATCTATGCATCTGGGTTCTTTCTGTTTCTTGAAGTAGAAGTACAGAATGAATGTTGCTAGTGTGTGTTAGGAATGTTGCAATAATAAATCGTTCTAGTGGGATTGTTAGCTCAAGGTTTGTGAATTAGTTTCTGCTGAATATATTGTCATCTTCCTTCGATGTTTTTCCATGTTTCCTTGATTGTATCTAGGAGCCAGAAGAAACTGGGTTCATGGTTCCGGTTGTGTTTCCTGTATTCATCAATCAGCTTTTGTAGCTTAGTTTGCCTTTAATGTGTATGCAAATATGCATATTTGAACATTCGGGTATAGATATCTGTAAGTAAAGCAAAAAAAAAAAAAAAAAAATCCGTTACATATTGCATCTTTGATTACTCTCGTTAGATATTTTCGCAATCAATCAATAGATCAAAGGAAAAAAAAGCATCAGATCTTGAATGTTCTGTTCTGTTACTCTAATCAGACGTGACTCAAACAAGTGGTTTGAAGGAACGAACCAAAGGTAGAAAACTGAGTCAAAAGGCAAATAGTGAAACTTTGCTTGATCTAGTTCCAAGTTGTTTCTTGGCCTGCCATGTCCCTTTTATAATTGCCTTCTAACAGCTGCTGATGCCATTCTACATTTGCTTGTAAAGGGTGGATAATATACAAAGGGTAAATACCATGAGTACTCAAAGGGTTGCTGTAATTGGAGCTAAAAATGACGCTTCTCCTGATAGGTAAACACTTCTCCACAATTGTATTTTAAGATTTTTGAAGCACAATGTTGTGAAACGAGTCTTAAAATTTACAGTTTTGTGTAATTTGCTGGAGTTAGTGCAGAGTTGCAGTTGTTACTGGAGCCAACAAGGGCATTGGCTTGGAAACTGTCCGGCAGCTTGCAACTGCAGGGTTTACAGTTATTTTAACTGCTAGAAATGAGAAGAGGGGAATGGATGCCACCTCTTTGCTTCATCAAGGAGGATTATCCAATGTGGTCTACCATCAGCTTGATGTTCAAGACTCGGAGAGCACGTCTGCTCTGGCACAATATATAGAAAAAGAATTCGGAAAGCTTGACATTTTGGTATGTGTAGTAAATTCATGGACACTCTACTTGGTATTGTAATTACCCCCATTACAGTTCAATACTATTTGATTCTTTGGTTGCTGCAGGTGAACAATGCTGGCGCTTCAGGAGTTGTTGTTGATGAAGATGGTTTAAGGGCCTTGAACATTGATCCTGCGGAATGGGTAACAAAAGAATCCTTTGGATATTATTATACTGTCATTTGCCAAAAACTGATGTAAAACTTGCGATTGCAGCTGGCAGGGAAAGCAGTTAATGTAATACAAGATGTGATAAAAACCACCTATGAATCAGCAAAAATATGTCTTGATACAAACTATTATGGTGTTAAGCGGGTGACTGAAGCTCTGCTTCCACTGCTGCAACTTTCAACTTCAGGAGCAAGGATAGTAAATGTTTCTTCCCTAAGGAGTGAATTAAAGGTGAGCTCTTTGTGTAAAAAACTTTTGGACTAATGATTTTTCCAACCATTGATTTCATTTTCGGTCTGTGGAACTTGTTCTGACTGCAGCGAGTTCCTTGCGAGCAAAGGAGACGAGAACTTGGGGATATTGAGACTCTAACTGAAGAGCGAATTGAGAAAATGCTGCAACAGTTTCTGCACGATTTGAAGAATGATGCTCTTGAAGCAAATGGATGGCAGAAGATGCTACCAGCGTACAGCATATCAAAAGTGACACTTAATGCCTATACTAGAATTCTAGCAAAGAGATATCCGAACATGTGCATAAACTGTGTTCATCCTGGATATGTTAATACAGACATTAACTGGCACACAGGAACGATGACCGTGGAAGAGGGAGCTGCTGGCCCTGTTATGCTAGCTCTTCTGCCTGAAGGAGGTCCGACTGGTTGTTACTTCGATTGCACAACTATGGCTGAATTTTGAGTTTGAGTCATTCCTTGTGAACATTTACACTTCTTCCAGGCCACTTTTACTGCAAAGCCAGAGATATATGTGTTTTGGTTCAAAGTTGATGAGGCAACGAAAGGTTGAAGCCGATTGTTTAGTTTCTTTTGGTCTTTGGAATAAACATCCTTTTTTGAGAAAGATAAGAAGAGAGAAAGAAAGATGAGAGGAGATGAGTATCAATTATCCTTTGTTTGTTTTGTTTTGATTTAAGTCGTGCAATTCAATGTTATTGTAAGTGACATGAATGGTAATTTAACAGTTGTTTGGAGAAGTCCAGGCCAAAGAGCCAAATACACAAGAATGGATCAGGATCAAAGTAGTCGTGGTAGATAGTTTCTGTCCTTGATGTTAGTATTTCCATCATGTTCATTTATCCTGTCTTTTGCTTTGTTTCCGATACTCAGATTTGAAGTTTAACAGCTTTTCCATTTAACTATGAACCTCTTCAATCTCATCTGAATTTTATACCTTTTCTAGATTTGTTCGCTACTAACTCTTAATCTAGTTAATGAGATTCCCAAAAGATGTGTTCCAGTTTCAAAGATAGGCTTAAGCTTAGGAATTTAATGTCTTCCAGACAAGTGATCTGTTCTTTCAGGATGTTCATAAACAAAAACTGTCCCTAGTACCATCATTGTACATTCTATCGTAGACCAGGACATAACTATTTTCCTGAATATGTCAACTACCGAATCTCACATATCCTATTATGAGAGCATTTGATGTGATTCCTTCAGACCATCCCAACGGATGGGAAATTGGCGATTTGGGTACAAATTGCAAGCTCAAGGGCTGCACTGTTCATGGCACCAAATAGGTGCACATGAACAACAAGTCACCTATTTGGGGATTCATGGTTGATGAGCACCGATTTGGTGCTTGAAATTTTTATTTTTTATTTTTACTTTTAGTTAATTTTTGTAATTTATAAAATAGTCATTTTAAATTAATTAATGTGTAATTTTTTTTTTTGAATAAGAGTGAAAATTTCATTAATTTGCTGGGAAAGCGCCCAACACGCAATGAGGTACAAACTCGAGAATGTTATCCCAAAATTTTTCAAAGTCTCTTTTAGACTTTGCAAATTGTGCTAAGCAATGGGGAACCACATTAAATTTACGGCTAATCCACTTGCAGTCAAATTGGACATGATCCTGAAAACGAGCTTTAATGTCTGCCAGTATTAAACCCCAGTCAGACAGGTCAGTTTTATCGACTTGTAATCGATTGATAATCACTGACGAGTCTCCGGCCAGAGTGAGTTGCTGGATTCCTGTTGCAACTGCTGACCTGATAGACTCCCGTGTGGCTAAGCTTTCGATTATACATGGGGCGAACAACCCTTCATATGATTTAGCATAGCATCCGACAAATCCTGATGAAGAGTTCCAAATTAGGATACCAATCGCGGAAGTATTCAGGTCTCGGTTTGTGGCTCCGTCAAAGAATATGGTAGTTCCATTCATGAAATCCAGGGAGCTTGCTGGCTTATTTGTCGTTGGTGGAGTTAGGAAGTGATGTAGCAGTGCTTCTTTCCATGATTCTAGCAGGGAGATGCTCATATTGAGGACTGATTTAGACTGGAGCGTGTGATTCTCAAAAACCAGAGTGTTTCTTGGAGACCAAATGTTGTAGCAGATGGATGCAAACAAGGGCAGTTTACTTGCTGGAAGAGATTCAATTAAAGTGACTAAGAAAGATCTGATGTCCGTAACAATAGGGTAGCTTATCTATCCGCTTAAATCGCTGCTAGACCAGACCTCTTTTGAGGTTTTGCAAGTGAAGAAAACATGTTTCAGGTCTTCCTGTATAGTGCACCCTTTGCATCGTCCGTTGGTATCAATCCTCCTTTTAATCTGGTTCTGCTGTGTTGCCAAGGAGTCAGTTACCATACGCTATAAATGATGTTTTACTCTCGGAGCTATATTTATGTTCCACAGCTTCCTTCACGTTGAATTATCTCCATTTGTGTTCGACGAACCTGCAATCGAGCTGCTTTGGAATCTAGGATGGGACTGCAAAACTCTGTAGCAAGAAGACACTGTGAATTTGCCATGTGAGGTATAATGCCAACTCCAAAAATCCTTTATAGTCTGTGTGCTTAAAGGAATATTTATGATCATGGTTACTTCGTCAGGCCAGAATAAGTGTTTTAACAGTCCAAGATTCCATTCTTTTGAGTTGTTGTCAATCAGTGAGCTCACCGTCGGCTTGCCTGCGAAAGGACTTTGCGGGCTGATTAGTTTGAACGAGTAAGGTTTTGGGATCCAGGGATCTTCTCAAATATCAACTGTTGAACCATCCCCTATTCTTTTACGGGCACCACATTCAAGAGCATTTCTTCCTTGGAGGATGCTTCTCCAGCTGAAGGATGGGCGCGAACCAATTATGATGGATAAAAATACTGCTAGGAAGGACAGAGTAAGCTATGCTCGAGTTATGGTAGAGATGGAAATAACGGAGAGTATGCCAAAAGAAATTCTATATGAAAATGAAAAAGGAATAGTTGTGAATCAGGAAATTCAATATGATTGGCTTCCAGTAAAATGTCCAAAGTGCAAGGGGTTTGGGCATGGAGGACAGAATTGCAGAAGGGTTGAAAGCACAAAACCCATAATTGAGACACCGGTCTGGAAGAAAAAAACCAATCAAACTATTCAGCAGCCAGAGAAACCTGTAAAGCAACATAGTGATGAAGCAAAATGTAGTAACTCTCAGAATGCTGTAGTGATAAATGATGCTACAAGGAAGGATGAGAATGAAAACAACCGTGCGGAAAATTGCATGGAGAAAGGAATACACAGAGGAGCAGGGAAGTACACTATCTCGGGGCCATGCCTCAATGGATAGTCTACTATTCTGGAATGTGAGAGGGTTTAATAGCCCTCTAAAACACAGAGAGGTCTTACACTACCTCTCTGTTAATAAAGTAGGACTGGCAGGGCTATTAGAAATCAAAATGAATGGGAAGAAAGTTCAAGAACTAATGGAAGGGAAATGGAAACCGTATGAGTACTTCAGCAACCACAAAAATAGAGAGAAGGGTCGAATTCTTTTACTATGGCAGAAGGGAGAATATGATGTTACAATACTAAAAACGGAGGATCAATATATACTTTGTGAAATAAGGAGGAACAAGAGTTTTCTGGTAACCATAGTTTATGGTAATCCACAAGCAGCAGGAAGGGCAACCATGTGGCAAGATCTTATGTAGCTAAAGGTTATTAATCAACCTCGGTTAGTAACTGGTGATTTTAACAGTGTGTTATATGCAGACGAAAAGGTGGGAGGAATAAGGGACACCAGTGCAGATACCAACATGTTTCAAATGGTGGTAGACATTTGTCAACTAGGGGATATGAAAACCTATGGAGGAAGATACCCCTAGAACAACAAAAGAATGGGAAACGACAGAATCTTGGCTAAATTGGATAGGGCTTTGATAAACGAGGAATGGCTGAACCAGTTTGAGAGCAGCTCCACAACAATCCTTCAAGCTGGCATCTCAGATCACAGTTCACTGTTGATAAAGACTCAGCAAGGCCAGGAGCAGAAAAAATCGGCATTCAAGTATTTTAACATGTGGGAATAAGCTGGAAAGAACAAGTGCTAGGGAATAAGCAGTTTAAAGTGGTCACAAACCAGCAATCATTGAAGAAGAAACTGAGAGAGTTAGGCCATGTTTGATAAACCAATTAATCACTTAAACTTATTAATTAAGTACTTAATTGATTAGCACTGTTTGATAACACACTATCATAATAACTTAATTGCTTAAAAATTTAATTTATTAAGGACTTAAATTTTAAGTGTGTTTGATAATTCAAAGTAAGATGTCTTAATAAATTAAATAGGTCTGAAATACTAGTACAAATATGAGTCTAAAAATAAGTGATAGGCCTATCACTTATGTCTGAACTGAATTCTTGAGACGGTTTTTTTTTCTATTTATTTATTTTTATGTTTATACTTTTGATATTTATCTTGAAATATTTTTATTAATCATGATGTCTAGTTCTAAATTAAAATTTATGAAAATTATTTTTTATTTAATAAATGTTTATTTTTATATAAAAATAAAAATCCATTAAATTCCATGATCAATATATCTTTACCATAAAATATGATTTTTTTATAATGATAAAATATGACATTATTATTAACTGAAAAAATAATAACATAATAAAATTTAAATATTTTTATTACATTATTTAATAATAATATTATTATTTTTGTTATCATAGTTTCATATACACAATTATTTTTTTAGATAAAATTATAAGTCGAGATACTTTAAATTTCAGTGTTCAGACTTCAGATTTTAGACATTTTATTCAGTGTTTAGATTTTGGTTTTTATCAAACACGACAAACTTAATCAATTCAGTACTTATGATTCAGTATTCAGATTTCAGACTTCAGACCCAAATTAAGTTTTATCAAACGGGCCTTAAACAAGCTAAATTTTTTGAAATTGAGCAACAAGTTGTGGAATGTCGGGAAAAAATGGAAGCAGTTCAGAAGTTGTTGAGTATTAATCCATCAGATGCAGGGTTGCAGCATGAAGAATCTGAGGTTGTGAAGGCATATAAAGAAAGAAGTGAAAATGCTCTGAGTTTTTTGAAGCAAAAAAGTAAGGAGAATTCGGTGAAGGAGGTTGATCTCAACACAGCCTTTTTTCATAAAAGTATCAGAGCCCGGAGAATAAAAAATAAAATACATTGTTATGTCAAGGATGATGGCGAGCTTGAAACAGATTGGTGTCAGGTTCGGCAGCACTTTGTGGGATACTTTACAGATATGTTAGGGAAAGAAGCTCCAAGAAGTATATCCAGGAAGGAAATTTTTGATACAGGGAGGAAGCTTTCAGTTCAACAGCAGCTGCAGTTAATCAAAGAAGTGACCAGGGAGAAGTGAAGACAGCTCTGTTTGACATTGACAGGAACAAAAGCCCAGGTCCCAATAGATTTGGGAGCGGCTTTTACAAACAAGCCTGGAGCGTAATAGGTAATGATGTAACTGATGCTGTTTTAGAGTTCTTCCAACAGCTCAATGCCACTATCATTTCGTTAATTCCTAAAAGTACATGTCCTAGAAATGCATTAGATTATAGACCGATTTCTTGCTGTAATACGTTATATAAATGCATTTCTAAAGTTATTTGTAATAGACTAAGTACTGTATTGCCATATATAGTAGAAGAAAACCAAGGGGCTTTTATACAGGTCAGGAAGATAGTCCACAATATATTGCTTACGCAGGAACTCCTCAGACTTTATCGAAGGAAGAACGTGACGCCTAGCTATATGATGAAGGTGGACCTTCGGAAGGCCTTTGACACCGTGAGTTGGGAATTCATTTCAGAAATGCTAGAATCTTATGCCTTTCCTCAAAAGTTTGCTCACTGGATTATGACCTGCATTACTAGTTGCTGTTACTCTCTAAATTTAAATGGTTGCAGTACGGGTTTTTTTTGAAGGGAAAAGGGGGTTGAAACAAGGTGACCCTGTCTCCCCTCTAGTTTTCGTTATGGTTATGGAGTATTTAACTAGGGCTTTTAAGTTAGAGGCCATAAGGAAAAGGCTGCAGTTCCACCCTAAATGTGCAAAGCTGCAATTGACTAATCTAGGTTTTGCAGATGATTTAATCATTCTCTGCAAACCTGAGGTTAAGTCAGTTCAGGTAGTTAAAGAAGTTTTGGACCACTTTGGGGAAGTAACAGGCTTGAAAGTGAATAAAACTAAGTCCAATATCTACTGTGCTGGGGTAGAGGAGAGGGTTAGAGAGGATTTGCAGGAGATTATGGGGTTTGAATTGGGTAGTTTCCCAATGAAATACTTGGAATTGCCAATATCTCCTACAAAATGGAATAATGGTGATTTTCAAGTACTCATTGAGAAAATTACTAAGAGGATCAAAAGTTGGGGTTTCCGTCACCTCTCTTATGTAGGAAGATGTCAATTGATTAACTCGGTACTTATGTCTATGCATACGTACTGGGGAAACACCTTCTTATTGCGTAAGAGTGTCATAGTCCAGATAACCAAAATATGCAGAGAGTATTTATGGGGGACAAATGATGCTGGGCATAGCACAGCTCTGGTTGCATGGACTGAGGTTTGTAGACCAAAAAAGGAAGGAGGCCTTAGTATTAGGGACCCGGAAATTGGAATCAGGCAGCCATAGCTAAACAAGTCTGGGATCTTGCTTCCAGTAAGAATGTATTGTGGATTAAGTGGGTGAATGAGTATTATATAAAAGGTCAGAACTTGTGGGAATATGAATGTCCACTAGATAGCAGTTGGCGTTGGAAGCAACTTATGCTGGTTAAAAGGAAGTTGAAGGAAGGAATGGAGGATGGTATTTGGAGCCCTGGAAGAAAGGAATATACTGTAAAGGGGGGATATGAACAGTGGCGAAATAAGGGAGACAAGGTCAGAGAAGCACTAGTAATATAGAATAGAAGCTGTTTACCTAAGCACAGTTTTCTTGGGTGGTTGGCTGCTAAAGATCGTCTGATGACCCTTGGAAGGCTGAGAAGATTGAATGTTAGAGTGGAGAACAAGGATTGTGTATTATGTGATGAAGGAGAAGAGGAAACCACACAGCACCTGTTTTTTGAATGTAGGTACTCTAATCAACTTCTTGGAGCAGCAATGGGGTGGCTACATGGTTCCATGAGACTGAGAAAGCTGAAATTGATACTTAGACAACTGGTAAATATGTAAGTACAAGAAAGTAAAGAGAGGACTCAAAAGTGCAGCCATAATGGCCTGACCATGTCTGGATTGAAAGGAATGCCAGGAGGTTCAACCAAGTTCAAAGGAAAGCTGAGGACAGATTTCTAGCTTTGCAGCAAGAGTTGAAATGGAAAATGCAGCAAACAGGGCGAAAATTGAAGACAGTTGACAGAGCCTATTTAACTAGAGTAGGCATCAATTTTGTTTAGTTTGGTAGGATGAGTTGCAAATATGATAGGATATGATGTACAGAAACTGTTTAAAGTTCTTGTTTGATTAATACAAATTTACCTTTACCAAAAAAATTTATAAGTCTAATCTGATAAATTTAATTGATCTCAACTTAATATTTAATTTATAACACACAAAAAATGCATAATATAAATAACAATGTACACATGTGATATGATAAAAAACACATACTGATGGTTTTTTTTATAAAGACATATTAATTTTTTTTTTGATGTAAAAATGGTTTTACAAGATATCATGCTATGAAAACAAAGTAACAAACCGTGTGGATTAATAAAAATAAATGATATACTTTTTCAACAATATATTTTGACCACCACTAAAATTTTGTTCTAGATCAACTACTGCAGATAATAATATTTTTTTTACAAAATATTTATTAAATATATTAAAATAAATAATAATTTGTGATAATAATAAGTGCTATATTTTTTTTAAAGTTGATTTTAATCAACCTCGAATATACCATTTACATCTTCGACTACTAGTAGGCTAATACAATCAGGGTCTCTCTCACAAAACAAGAGTTTCCCATCCGAATCTAAAACTACTTTAGCTAAACCATCGGCGCAAAAGTTGTTCTACGGGGAGGTTGTTCCACTTGAAACTCCCTATTCGAAAGTAGGAAGCCATGGATTTCGTGTAGCACCGAATCCATTTGTAGGTCTAAGTAAGTGAAAGATGAAATCGCGCGTTGGTAGACCATTGTAATATATCCTTGTAAAACCACTACGAACAACAATATTAATTCCTGATAACTCACCAACATTGTAACGATACTAGTTGATTCATTTTAGGGTAAATTAATCTAAAAAGAAAAATTCTATATGCTTCTCCTTTATTCTGTAGATTAATTAGAGAAGCTGAAATTGATCCAAACTAGTACTCTCCGGTCTCTTGTGGGGCTCAAGTGAATGGGCAAAAGACTAGAAACTCATGCTTCAAAAACTAACATTATTTTCTTGAAAAATTGTGAGCAACGAACAAGTTTAAATCTTTGTAAACGACCTCACAAGTTAACTTGTGTCAGACACAAGTAAGCATGTCTTAATACAAAATTAAGGAATTATTTAGGAGAAATGTTGCCAAATAAAATCTTCTATAATTTTGTATGCTAGCCAAAATACCCTCTACAATCTCCATATTTATGCTTTTTTTTTTCCCTCTTGTTTTTGCAAAACAACAAAAACTTGTTGCTAGCATAGCCAAAATCTTCTATAAATATATATATATATATATATATTTTCCTCTTAAATGGTTCAAAACATAATGTGCTTGAATTTATTCGTTTCTCAATATGACTCAATCGATTTACTTTCAAAATATTCTTATATTTCATTTAACTTGTAAATCCGCCTAAACATCAATTATATTTTCTGGAATTAAGCAATCCATTTTAAGATCAACAATTCACTCAAATCAGCAGCAAGAGCTCCCTGGGATATTCAAGGATCCTTTATTTCTTTAATTAGGGGAAGCACCAGATTATACTTTTTGCCAGATATATGAGATAAACTGTGTCGACTAACTCAATGAATGGAAGCGATAGAGCAGTGTAATGGGGCGAATACGCGACAGAGAGGCATCGCGAGGTTTGCCATTCTACATGTACAAACCGCAGGCAAATTTAGCAGATTTGTTTGCCTATTAGTATTTTTGTTGATGGTTGAAAGTTACAAAACAGCAAGCAATCTGCGTAATTTGACCGCAACCAAAAGTGACCAAAAGAGTTGGTTGCTCGCATAAAACTCCATTTTGTACGAAAAACAGAAGGAACAGATTTTTGGTTGCAGTCTTGCAGACATTGCGTTTGCACCATTGTCCCAAATTAACACAACACGATCAAAGGCCAAAGCATACATTCTCTAGTCTAGCATCTTTGCAAATGTACGTAGGTCACTTTTGCGTAATTTCGACAAACAATGGAAGAAAAAAGAAGCAAAAAGATACGATTTTTATTCTCTCAAAGGTTGTTAAATACAAGCAAATCTCAAAGAATATTCAATAGCAGATACAGCCGAATAGATTGCAAAAGAGGGTTTAACCTGATGAACTCAGAATAAATCTTTATTAATTGAGGGTAAATAAGCCCATGGATCTGAAAGATAACAAAATTTCCATGGATGATCCTTATCTAAGTACCAGAAATAACTCAATGGCGATAAATCCTATCTGCGGAGAAAGCCTAGATAATCTAACCTTCTAATCCTATCAAAAACTAAACTTTAATCTAATTGAGTGGAATCCCATCTTCTTTAATGCCCAGGCTTCTTGATTCTTGATTCAGAAGACTGAGAATTCTGTAGAACCATTGCTCTGCGTAGACGCTTTATACTGATCAAACCCAGAATCGAGGTTAACCATCCCAAAAGAATCAATTTTTTCGTTGTTCCAAAGATAATAATCAACAAGGTCGCTTTGATCAGGACGATAAAAATCCAGTGGTTGCTGGTCTTGAGTCGAATCATCAAAATTTATTCCCAATGGGGCCAACCCCTGTTTCCAACCAAAGTACGAATCATGATCATTGTTAATTAAACCTTCACTGTTGCTCCCCTGAATTAGATCTGCATTCCCCCAATTGTTCTGGTTTTCAGGAACCAACATCAATTCATCAATACCATAATCAATTCCGTCCCACATATGATTTTCTTCCTCTTCGGCCATTATCAGTTGATGCCCACAACCCATCTCTGGTTCTTCTTGATTATTATGTCTAGGTAATCCCTTTCCCTTCACATCCACATTCTCAGTGACATTCGCCAAGTTATTGGCTTTTTCAACCCAAAGATCAGACCTTTCAGCTGGCGGGTTCTTCTTCTCGGGATTTCTTCCATTGAGGTAGTTTCTGACAATGGTTTTGACCTGGGATGGATCTCGAGGCCAAACTTCAAGCTCCCCGTTCGGTGATCGAATCATTACAAGAACTGGGATGTCACAGAGGATTGAAAGCTCCATGGCTTTCTTCTTCAACCCTTCTTTCCTGCCCTTGAAAACCACATTCTTAGTGGTATTAGTTTCTTGCTTTTCTTGATTTTTTCGAGGACGACCCATTATTGCTCTGCTCTGTTTCTTGCTTTTGTTGATTTTTCAAGAAAAGTACAGAAAGATTAGTTTCGAAAAGAACATATAAATAGAACTGATTTCGGTTCTGTAATTCCAAAATTATGTTGGAATGTCGATTTCCTGGAGCCAGTTCGGAAGGTTCCTAATTCTCCGGTTATCAAATACATTGCCAACGGCTACTTCATTTAATGTCGACTTTACTTTTTCTCTTTTCGTTTCCTAAACTGATTGGTGTTTTTCTTTATATAAGAGCTAATATTTTCTAATTAATAAAATAATAGTTATATATATCTTACGTAGGAGTAAACTTTAGTCCACATTTAGTATGAGTTTACAAAGTTACTGTGGATCAATAGGTTGATAATGATTAAGATGAGTTTAGATATAATTAAATAAGTGAGATAAACTATAATACTAGTATAATGAAAAGTAGGAAACTAAAACAAATGAAACACAATTCACGTTATCATGGAAATTTTTATAATAGTATTTGAAATTGCCTATCACGATAAGTTTGTACGCTGATGTAAAATCATTTTCGTCTCCTGGATAGGCCAATCATTTAAGTCTACATGCGTAGACTATGGCAATAGACATTTGATAATTCTGAAATTTCATAAAACATAATTTGATAATAATTGGATTTCCTAAAACTAGTAAACTAGGTTAATTGATTTAACTTTCTTATTTCCTAATTCGGGTTTGTAGTAATTTCATAATTTCCTACAAAAAAAGTTACTAGTTTCCTTTTCTCAATTCGGGGTCGTAATATTAATTGACAAGATTCCTAATTAAGAAATAACTTGTTTTAGATTTTTTTTTTTTTGGTGAAAGGTAAATATATATTAAAATCACCATGAAAATCACAATTACACTGTTTAAACCACCTACTACCATCTCAAATAAAACACTATTACATTAAGGCAAAGACAAAGAAACAACCTATTACAAATCATTCTTTCCTTAACAGAGAACTTTTTCTTCTTACATCCCAAAATCCTAATCTGAACTTCAACTTGAATCAGCCTAAACAAGTCCTGCACCTCTCTCATCTTACCAACGAAGGATGGAGCTGCATCCATACTGGAATTTTATCAACTTCTCTATAATTTATACCTTTATCCACACTCCAGGGTTTGACAATTAGGGGTTTCAATCCAAAATGGTACACATTAATACTCAAAACATCATCTCTAGCAGCCATAGTCATGAATCGAACAACAATTAAACCAATAGGCAAAAGGATTACCTTGTCTACTCCAAAGTGGCCCCAAATCCTTTGAAAATATTGCTCCATAACCCAAATCGGCGGATTGGCTCCTAATACGAAACACACCACTGAAGTTGCCCAGTATTTTGCCCCTTGAATCACAAATTCCTTTTGAACTTGCAATTTGCTGACCTTCAATGACTTTCGGTGGAATGAACTGCAATTTACCCCCAGACTTCCTCAATTTGCAGGATCAAATCGATTCCACACATTCCCATCTGATGCCATCTCCGACTTCTCAGACCATGTCAATTCTCTTCGCCACCGTCGATTTGACCGGCGGGTTATCCAGATCTTTCTCAATCCCGATTGGCATCCCGCACTCAACTTAGGGTTTCCACCACCGATGAAATTTTAGGCACCTTCTTAGATGATGAATCTTTCTTTGAAAATTAAGTTTTAAAATTTTAACTTATTCTCTTTCTCGCATCACTCTGCAATTTAAACTTTCACTTTTACTACAATTTGTATTAAAAAATAAAAATACGAACTAGATAATCATTTGGGATCGAGAGAGTCTGGGATGGAATTAGGAGAGCAAAGAGAGTCCGCCGACTATAAGCTCGGCAATTTTTTCTAAAAAAGTACCTTAAAATTTTTATATATTTCTCCAAAAAAAAAATCCTAATAATATTGAACTCTTCGAATGTTCGGAGCTGGTTCCTTCATTGGAGGGCGTAATAAAGATAAGTCGCATGTTTCATTCAATAAGGTCATGAGTTCATATCACACGAGGGGTTTTCGTTACGTAGGTCATTATTATAGGATGCTGCAAATCTCCTTTTATACAGTCGACTAAATTATTAGACTTGGTCTCGTGTTTTAGAAATCCTCGTAAACCTATGCAGTCAAAAACCACATATCATTCCAACGAATTCACTAGGAATACGTGTGTTCTGTTCAAGAAAACACTATTGTAATTTCGACACCAACTGGAAATTAAAGAAAGAACAACCCACAATCAAAAGATATGATTTTGTTCTTTTGTGAGGTTTGTTATATAAGTTCAAAAGAGTTGTTATCTAATTGTACTAATTGCAAATATCAAAACTCAGTGTTCATTTTTTTTTCTTTTTTTTTTTTGGGAGTAGTATTTAACCATCTACTTTTTGTTCAATTACAAAGTTTTCATTTCAGAGCTCATGCGGTTGTTGACAAACCACGACTCCACCTTTCGTACTGAAATTTTTTTACATGATTTATTTATCTTTTTTCTTTCTTGCCATTATTCAATTTTTTAATGTCTAGCTACACGACAAAAGACCAATGCAAAATTTTCTTTTTTCGACATGGGTAATAATTCATCATTCAATTAGTTCCGTCGCTGTTCCTAATACAAAACCATTGAAATTTATTTAGATTTACAAATGTCTTGTGAGAGATAAATTACAGTACAATAAAATAGTATTCTTCAAATAGGACGAAGGACGGAAGTAGTACTGTATTGGTTGGCAAAAACTATAAGGACCAGCTAGCTGCCTCCTAAGAATTTACTTTTAATATTGTTTTTGTTATTTATTTTCTTTTAAAAAAAACATTTTAATCAAGAAAATTAAATATATGGGTTGATTTCAGAGAAAGCAGACGACTTTGCTGAATTTCAGATCAAGCATGATTCATGCGAAATAGATTTCACTGCTTTCATCCATTCTACAAGTAGGGAAAAAGAACCTTAAATAAAGAAGATGATCGGTTTCATGAGCAGAGAACTGTAGTCAGTTATAGAAGACTCAAGTTAACTTGATCCTCTTGGACTAATGACCTGACTCAAGAAAACTCAACACAAACTAACCGATTGATTCAACTCCTGCAAAAGTCTAGCTGGGAATGGTACCAAATGCATTGCCATTCTCAGACGACCAAGGGTGGTCTTTATGGTTTTGAAAAATATCAAGGTTCGGTTTATAGTTTCCCAAAATTTAGAGGAGTATCCTATACCTAATTTAGTGGGTGTCAAACCACTAATTATTAACCTACTCTAAAATGCAATAAAGTGGCAAGTAGGGTCGAATTCCACAGGGATGTAAATCAAATATCAAGAAGCAGGGTCGAATTCCACAGGGAGGTAAATCAAATCAAGTTTAAGAAGAAGAAACTGAAATCAAGAAAAATGTGATAAAAAGGAAAATAAAATCCTAAGCTAAAGTTGTGATGAAGAAAACAAAATAATGCAAACTAGTTCAATTATTTATTTCTACTTCAATTGGCTAATCAACCCTAAACTAATAGTGGTGAATGAATATTGGTCGGATTTCCTAATTATATCCTTATGCTCCTTCCGAAGTTATAAGGGTCTCCCTACAACTAATCGCAAACCTATATTCCTATGGTTGCATTTAATTGTAGACTCATTCAGATTAGGTATCTCATATGGCCACCCATGCCTTACCGGTATATTCCTATCCGGTAAGAAACCATAAACTTTTACGTTTATATCATGATTTATTCTCCCTAGAGCTAAATTATACACTCTATTCTTAGTAATGTATAATTCTCAAACACACACAATTATAAGGCCATTAACAATTGTATGGATTTTGGTTTTGTCAGCATTAACACAAGCTTATTTATAGATTTGGTGTGGTTTATTAAGTTCTAAAGTTTCTTGCTGCAGGTAGTTATTGACTTGGATGAAACTTTACTTTGCGCATTAGTGTCTATCATCAACATCTTTAAGTTCTTTAATTGAGAACAAATTTTCATCTGCCCTAGGTCTTAGCCCTTTACACAGAGACAGAAAATTATGATGTTTAAGTGGAGCTGAACTAATGGAATAAACATTGTTCTTTCAATAAAGATTTCCAAACACGTAATGATTTCATATATGCCGATGTTGCTCCCTCCCCTGAAATGCACTGGGTATATACATCTTCTCACATTTAGTTCATCAGACTGAGATTTACTTCTCAAGATTAGTTTGATGTTTGGAGTTGCTTTTTGGTTCTATTTCATGCCTCTGCATTCTCCTTTTCTTCATATAATGATCCCTCCAGAAGCTTTTAATGCCTATTTGATTCCCTTTGTTTGAATGCAATAGATGAAATTGTTTGAATCTATTATAATGGACGTGATATTATCTTATCTTTATGTACAGATTGGTAGCTCATAAAAACCCTGATTAAATTTGGAAGGAGCAAATTGGCATGCTTAACATCAATATGTTCAGTGTAGGATTTTCAAAAAACATTAAACACACTTGTACATAAAGATAAGAATGGAAATTTGTGTACATAAAGAATGGTTAGTCAGATTATACTTAGCAGAATTCTCTGAAGTATAAGAATGGTTGGATCATCTAACTGTATATCACAGGATTTTCTCTCCAAGGGGTACACATCGATTTAATATGTTTGGCGCTGGGGCTCTCTTTGATATTAAACCATAGGTTTTGATATTAGGAAACCATTCTACGATCAGCCTTTCATCTCGTTACTAGCAAATCGCCGGCGGGGATTGTCATTAGCTGCTCCCCCAGCTGCTTCCAGAGCTGATGACTCAGCTCCTTTTGAGATGTCAATGGAGAATGTGCTGAAACTGTTGGGGATATGGAAGAACTACAGAGTGATCCAGAAGTGGTCTATGTTGGATAGATGTGTCTTTCTTGGGAATTCTTACATTGGCAATATGGGAAGGCCTTAGACATGTGGGATTCTGACCCCCGCGGCACTCATTGGTATAACGAAGTTGCTGGGGACTTTCAACAGTTTCAAGTGCTCTTGCAAAGGTTTATAGAAAACGAACATTTCCAGAGGCCAAGAATCCAATATTACATGTAGCAGAAATGCCTATTTCGAAACCTTCTCCAAGTTCCTGTTACAAAGGGTGAGATTTGCAAGTCACCAGATTCAATGGCATTTGTGAATCTGATTTTTGAAATTTTGTGCTAATTTTTCAAGTTGTAACATTGTCCTCACGTGTTCTGTTTTTGCTAATTTGCAGAAGATAGTTCAAGAGATAGAAGAAAGGGAAAAGGATAGAGAAATGAGTACATCATTTCAAGTGAGATGCTGGTGGAAATTCTGGAGGAATCAATAAAAAATTTTGGCGATTTGTCCAAGCTGATAGAGATTGTAGTAGTGTTGCAGTTAAAGGTCATAGAGGAATACCTGCAAAGTTCAAAATTCAAGTTTAAGCTATATGATCAAGTTTACTATCTGATTTTACAAAATGTTGGTCTAAATTATTCTTACTTGTATCATACTACATTGTCAATCTCTTGAATCTAACGGATTTCTTGAAATGCAGGAGAAGAAGCGAAAAGATATAGTTATAAGTGGGAATTGCGTACTGAGGAAATCTCGAAAGTGCCAGAAAGATGATGTAGATCAAGTCCTTTACTTCCTTTCACAAGTAGATATGAAGTAGACCTCCACTGATGCTGAAATCCAATGTATTGCTGAGCTTCAAGCAAAGAAAGAAGCCGGCCTTTCTCAGTACAAGCTGAGGTTGGTGAAATAGTCAGCACTGGGGTCGCAACTTTCGCATATCCAGGAGTATTACGAAGGACTTGCTGAACAAGCCAGCCAAGCTGAAGCTGATGCTCAATCTTTGAAGAAAAACTTGGCTAAGTTAGAAGCCGAAAGAGACGGTAAACTTTTGTTGATGAATCTTATTGGAGCTGCAAACGAGGCTAACTATCATGCTCAGAGGCTTTCTCTGTCTCTATCAAACTGCACTACAGTTTTGCCGGTCGCCGAAAGACGAACAACACTGAATAACTCTAATCAGTGACAATACAGGTAATAGTTACTCTTTTGGTGGAATCATTTTTCTTCATCTTCACCCTCTTATGGAACTGAAGCCAATGTTGCAGTAGCCATCAGCAATTCCAAATATCTGAAACCTGCCCAATTGCTTCTGGCTGAAGTAGTTAAGGTGGGAATCAAGGCCATTGATTCTAGCAATGAGACATATGGCAAGAGATTATCACGCAGCAGCAGAAGAAGGTTACTAAAATTTCGATCCGAATTGAACATGGAGTTGTTTAACAATGAGTTCTTTACCGATAAACAAGAACTGCATGCTAAGCTATAAAGCTGCATTGTTAGAGGAGGTATGTGATCAATAATGCTTATACTTTGATTGTGATTTGATGCCTTAGTTAGGAAATTCATGTACTAATTTCCTCATAAATTTGTAGGTGGAAAGAAGATATGTGCGCAATACTACAATCATCTATGCAGATCCTGATTTTGGTTCATGTCAAGCTAAGGAGCTTTCAGATCACCTCGAAAGTGTTTTTGATAATGAACCAGTCTCCGTCAAGAGTGGCCTGCACATTGTGGAAGTTAAACCGCAGGTTAGCCGAATCCTTAATTGCATTCCTTTATAGGATTGTCATCAACTAACATGCCAATCATCCGAGTATTCATGTTTGCAGCTTGTAGAACGGAAACTAAACTTCATTTCATGATTCTTTATTAGCCAAGGGCCTGAGGCATGATAACATGCTGGTGTCGAGAGTAAATTTGTGGCCCTACGTATCGGCAGCAATTGATGATTGTAAATCTCCCCGAAAGAGTGTTTATTTTTTTATGCTTCTCTTCTCTTGTTTTAGTAAACTTCATCTCATCATCTTCTCTTCATTCAGGGTGTTAACAAAAGGCCTAATAGTCGACCGCCTTCTCTAGACAATGCAGCAAAAGGATAAAATTCCAGATTTGGTTCTTTGTATTGGAGATGATCGATGAGATGAGCATATATTTGAAGTGATAATAAGTACAGCTTCCAACGCATCCCTCTCTCCAGCTGCCGAAGTTTTTGCTTGTCCAGTTGGCCAGAAACAAAGTAGAGCCAAGTACTACTTAGAGGATACCGCTGAGATTTTGAGAATGATGCAGGGTCTCGTTGCAGCTTCAGAGCAATCAACTAAAACTACAGTCCAAGCTTCTCAGCGAGTCCCACATCTATACTGAATTGGGTTGTGCAAGTAGTTCATTGTAGAGATCATTTAGCTTTCTCTTAATGAGGAATGAGGTTTTAGACGGACTTGAATTTCAGTTGCAATTGCCACGATTGTAGTCATATTTAAGAAGTCTATTTTTTCAAATGTAAAGTTCCCATTTCGAAATTCTTGGTATCATTGTGAAGCTAAGAAGAACAAGCAACAAATTCTATTTATAAATTAAAAATTGATTCTTACTGGAAGAAGGAAAAAACAAGCTTGGAAGTTGCATCAATGGAACTGAAAGTGAAGGTCACTGAAGAAAACTGCCGGCCAGAGTTGAGGAGTTTTTTCCTTAAATATACTTGCACATTAAGCATCTGGACAAAAATAAACCTTCCTGAAATTTTGTGGACAAAACTATATGTCACAGATTTCTGAAATCCGAATCAGTGTTGCACTCGGATTTCTGAAATCTGAATCCTACAGAATTTAATTCGGATTATCGAAAGCCGAGTTTGTGTAATGTAAATCTGACATTAAGTTAATAACAGAAATTAGTGTAATTAATGATACTATAGATTTTCCAAATCCGAATATGCTAATAAAATATTAATTTTCGGAAAGAAAAAAAATACAAGTGTTGGAAAACTAATTTTAGCTAAATTCGAATTACTGGAATCCGAATCGGATAAATACGGATTTTGAAAATCCGGAACACTTCTTCGGTTAAATACGGATTCGTGAAATCCGAAGTTGGATACAGTCGGATTTCCAAAATCTGAATATGCTCTGTTTCTGAAAACTGGGAACTCCCAGTTAGCTAACAATTCGGATTTGCAAAAGTCGAGTCTTGTTAGAAATGAAAGGATTTGGATTTCCTAAATCCGAATCTTTATCAGAACTGAAAAAAATTGGACTGGTTTTAACCAGTCCAAAACCTATTTACAGCACCAACAACAATGAAACATAGAAAAACAGAAATCTAATAGCAACAAAACAATAAACTTCATTCGATTAACAACGAAACATAACAAGTTTCAATCCAAAATCAATCAAAAAACTAATTTAAATGTAAAAATACATCAAAGGGCTCATTTTTTCCCTTTTCCTTTCTTAGGCGTATTCGGAGTGTATTTATTTGGCCCCTGCCGGTTCCTGTCTTCCCTCCGAAGATACGTGAGTATTGCACCCTGTTGTTGACACCGTTGGGGTTGGGATTGGGACTCTCCCATGATGAGAAATAGGACTCCCGGTTGTGGTTGCGGTTGTGGTTGTGACTCTCCACCAAATTGAGTCTCGAGTCCACCAATGTCTTCAAATTGAGTTTGGATCTGGATGTGTGAGCCTCTAGAAGAAGCCGCCTCGCCATCTCATTGTTGACCCTCATTTTGTTCTTGCGATGTCCGAGGGGGGATCACTATCTTTCTCTTCCTCCTCTAATCTTGTCTCTTGACCACATTTTCGCTTTTTTACCCGGCGGAAGTTGTGAGGGCATAGATGGTTCTTCATCAACCAGGATTTAGGTATCGTCCACGTCAATCTCATCATTTGCACCCAGGGTTAAAGCAGCATGTGCGTGATCGATGATTTTGTTCAAATGCTCCTCGAGTTCATCGTCGAGGAGATTGTTATAATCTCGTTTATCTCTAAACAGCTCGGAACTCACGCGAATGTTGTTCAATACTTCACCCTGAAATGAAATTGGAACGTTAATTAAGAGAGTGAAATACAAAAACTAAAGAAAAAAAATAAAAGGAAAATATAAGAAATAAGAAACCAAAAATATAGAATGAACTCACATATAATTTTACTCGGCTCGAAGAAGTCTCGTATCCTTTAGATTCATAATTTTTGGGATTGGATATCAGTTTGACAGTGTTTATCATGAACCATTTATAGTACCCCTCTTATACTTGGCTAGGGTATTCGACCTCCAAATCTTGTAGAACGTACTTTTCTCTCTTTCTCCAGTGAGGACGTACTGCGGAATGGTGATCCACCCAATTGTTGCTAGGATACCCAGACATACTGTGGGCGTGATCAAGAAGAAATGTTGCATTATCTTTAATCATAGGGCGACTGGGAACACCCTGTATGTATCCAAATTGTCTCACAACTCTGCCCGACTCGTGGGGTTCCCTAATTGCCTAACAGAACATCTAACACTTGGTCATCGAAATGGCTTGGCCTTGTTTACAGAAATCAAGGAGTCTATCAAAGACCTTTGCATATGGTTGCCACTGAAACTGCATGAAAAGAATTTATTTAAATGGTATAACTGGAAGAAAAAGAAATTCAAAATAAATATAACTACCAAATTAAGTACTTACATCTTCAACACGCAGGCTTGTTAATTGATCTCTAAAAGGTGGCAAGCTGCTCCTTGGGACGTCTTCGTAGGTGTACCTACATTCCCACCTTAATGAACAAACACGTAGGGGTTACATTTGAATTAGCAAAAAAGATGAATAAGAAACAAATACAAATAAATATTGAGTTATTTTGAAATGAAAATACGTATCACTGAGTTAATGGAGCAGTCTCATCAAGTATATAATCTACTCATTTTCTGTGTGGTGCGATTCTCTCGATCCGCTCATACGCCCATACCTATTAAATTTCAATAATAATGTTAACACTTCAAATTATAACATCGAAAACAAAAACAATTAACACACCTATTGAAAACTAATACGTACCTGTAACAAATATAGACAGCCAGTGATGTCGTGCATGGTGTACTGGGATGCCTCGCACAGGCCAGAGTACAAACCAGCCAGTAGGGCCGATCCTCAACTGTATCGACTACACTGCTCCAAATCCTCAACCTGGGCCAAAAACTGCAGATTGACAGTGTTTTGAGTCTTGGTAGGAAACATGAAACTGTTAATAAAATGCAAAATTAGTGTCCGGACCCTTTGCTCGAATCGTTGGCTAGGGACTCAGGGAGTGCACGGCCCATCTCATCCTCGAAAACACTAATATTGACAAATTGGCCATTTACTTGGGCTGACCGGAATCTCAAATAAGTCTCACATCTCGCCCGCCATTCCTTTGCACTATGACTAACTGTCGTCCCGTACACTGGGTCACCATCCACCCGAATACCAAAGAGAACCTCGACATCCTGTACTGTCACAGTCGCCTCTCCGAAATTGAAGTGGAAAGTATGGGTTTCTGGCCTCCACCGTTCCACCAACGCCGCAATGAGACCGAGATCCAATCTTTTGTAGCCTACTTTCATTATCCCCTCAAAATCGGCTCTCCTAATGATTTTCTTAACCCCGGTGCCGTATGATTATTGTATATCTCCCAAAAGTCGCTATCGTATCTACGGCCCTTGAGGCGAAATGTTTTAATGTAGTGGACCTTGTTCTCAAAGACAGCTTGGGACCTTTGATGTGCTTGACAGTATAGCACTTTATCTTCTATCGGCCCCGGCTGAAGATGTTTAGAGTGATATTCATATTGCGAGCTAGATTCGCCAGGCATTGCAATCCTACACAAGGCAACCAAAGAAAACATCAATGCGCAATAAAATTAAACATAAGGTTAGTAGTAAACATAACAAACATCAAGGGGAACAATGAAAAAAAAATAATACACATTCGGCCAAACAAAACTAATACACATTCGGGAAGTAAAAAAAAAAAACTAAAAAACAAAGCCAAAGAACAAAAAAAAAAAAAAGTTGCAGGGAGGCATCATCATTCATCAGGCTGGATTGCAAGTAATTCATTCGGATTTCAAAAAAAAGGCTACATTTTGATTTCACAATTCAAAAAAATAAAAAAAAAGAGCCAAAACCTTACGGGAGTCACCGGAGTCCAGGGAGTCGCGGGAGTGGAGAAGGAGATCGCTTTGAGTCGCCGGGAGTGCAGGGAGTCGCCGGGAGTGGAGAAGGACCTCGATTTGGGTCGTCGGAGTACAGGGAGTTGCCGGGAGTGGGTGGCAGAAGGATTGGCCGGACGTGGATTTCAGGCCACCAGAGGGAGGGGGGTGGGTCATCGGACGGAGGAGTCATCGATTTGGGTGGTGGATTGAGTCGCCGGACGGTGGGTGGCGGTTGAACGACAAAGGTCATCTCCGGCCAGGGGAGGATTGGATTTAGGGTTGAATTGGGGAAAAATGAATGGGTTCCAGAGTTGACCGGCTCTTATAGTCCTGTCAACCTCGGATTCCCTAAATCCGAATTCAGATTTCCAGAGTTTATTCGAATTACCAAATTCTGAATCTCCTCTGTTTCTCCACAAATTGCACACTCCCGGATGGAATTTCTCAATTCGGAAATCAAAAATCCGAACTTAGTACAAATTGTGATAACTCGGATTTCAGAAATCCATGTACTTTGCTGCAGGAAATCGCCCCTGTTTCGGATTTCTGAAATCCAGGCGTTATACAAAATGGCTACGTTCGGATTTCGGAAATCCGAACACTATAGAAAACCTTAAAATGTCCATTTTTATTTTTTTGCACAATCCCAAAACCTGTTATCAACAACTAGCAACTATTTGATCACAATCACAACACGAACAATTCAATATTAACATTACAATCCGAACAATTCAATGTTAACATTACAATCCGAATTTATCAATACAAATATTTAGACGACATCTAATTAAACAGTTGTCATTCCAAATAACATGGTCACTCCAAATAACTTGCAATAACACTAAATGTCTCTCAATTTCAGTTGTCAGTCATAGGTCTTCTGTCTACTCCTGGGTGCGAGTACGGACAAGAATTGGGATCGTGACCTTGTTTTCTACATCTCCAACATTCCCCCCCGCTTTGGCGTCCCCTGTTATCCATTTGCATTCTATGTCTCCTTTTTTGTAGCTGTCCCGGTCCCACATTCAAAACAAGACGCTCATAATTCAGAATGATATTCCAATTGACTGTCGGCCATTGTTGCTCATTGGTAATTGCAACAAAACCCGTGTAATCAAATTGTCTGTGCCATGCTGGAAGGCGCCACACCTCATGGTATAGATCAATAGGCCAATCCCTTTTTTTCCGGCAAACTTGGAGTGCGTGCGTGCAAGGCATCCGGTACTCTTGCCACTTCCTGCACCAACACCTATGTTCATTGTAGTTCACCGTATGCAAAGATCCACCCCTGTCACTTAGCCGTGTAGCAGTAAAAACCCGCCACCTAGTATCATTACCATCAAAAGGGGTGGCATCAAAACTGGCTGCTTTGTCATTCATTTCCTCATATTTTTTTCCATAACTCAGGAGGGATCGGTGTCATGCAATTTCTCGCACACAATTGTTCTTCTCTGTAGAATTTCACCGTTTTGTGAAAGGTTGCATCGATCAAGGCTCTAATTGGTAAAAACCGGATCCCTTTCAACGCATTGTTCTAACTCTAAAAAATGTTGGTTGTCACTATGTCCCAACAGCGAAGACCGGCTTTCAATCGAGCCCAGTTACTCCCTCTAATCTCTTGAAGATACTCCCATGCAGCAGGTTTGAATTCCATAAGCTCTACCCTCATACGGTTGTATTTCACTCTTGAATGCGTCGTGCCCATTTTCCAACATAACCGCTTCACCTTTCTGCTATTATATCGCGACACAAGATTGCTGCAAACGTGGCGGAGGCAAAGAAAGTGACCACCATTTCCTAAATCATGCCATTCATCCATCTGTGATATTGCGCTCAACAACCCTGCATTCCAGTCGGATATCACACTTACGATTCTATCCTGCACAACCCACAACCTCAAATTCCTCATAAAAAATGTCCAACTATCTACTGTCTCCTCATCCACAATCGCAAATGCAACTGGTAAAATGTGCTTATTTGCGGTATAGACCACCACATCAAGCAACCTACCCTTGTATCCACCATGCAAGAAGGTTCCATTGATACAAATGACCGGTGGACATTCAGGAAACGTCGCAGCCACTGGTACAAATGGCCAGAAGATGTATTTAAATGTCCTATTTCCCCTGTTCCAACCTTCTTGTCCCTCCTTCCATTCCCACTCTACTACAGTCTTAGGATTAGTAAACTTAAGCGCCGCGATATACCTACACAACAAACCAGTCATAGTTAAAATATTTCAATACAATTAACAAAAAAAAATAAAAATAATGCACATAGCAATATGGATAAAAGTTGATATTTACCTAGGAAGTTCTTCGAAATTCGAGGTCCAATCACCATAGACCGCTTCTATGGCTTTCCTCCTCCCGTGCCACGCCCTTTTGTATGGTAAATCTACTTTCAATAAGGTCTTCACATCTTTCTGTGCCGAGACCACCGTATAATATACGTTGTCCTCAACCTTTCTCCTGATGAGTCTAGCAATCAAAGACGCATCCACACATCGATTGTCATTATCATTCATGGGAGTCATACAATTATGTGCATCATGCCATCTCACAATTTCATGAAGGCCGTGATCTTTCAAAGACACACACATCTTCCACTCACATGGTGGTTCACCATCCTCACTTTCCACATTTAATGTTCTGCACCGCACAGCCCACGTCTTTGGACTACTCGCGGCGACTGTATATTCTCTTTTATGATGGATGTTCCATAATTTCACAGCATACTTTGCTTCTGATTGGGATTTGAAACAAACACCAATGTCCATTCCTTCAGGCGTCTCATCCCACATCTTAAGAGCAAACTCATTTTTGTCCACACACGAGGCATCCCATTTCCCTATCTTACTATAAACATGGCGTCGGGGCAATGGATTAAGATCCCTTTCCTCATTTTTCAATAATTTATCATCACTTTCTTCAAAATCACTCTCTGCAGAGACATCACGGTCTTCTTCGCTTTCACTTGGAGCTATGTAGTCAGGATCCGACTCTTCCATGTAGTCATCTTGTGAAAATAAATGTGTCTCCTCTTCATCACGGTTTCAAGAAATACTAGCATGTTCCCCCCTTGGAAAACCACCAAATGACACGTTTTTTTCAAAACTTGCTTCTCTTTCTTCGTGAGTGATATCTTCCAAATCTATGTATAAATCTAAACATGACATTGGAGCTACACGGTACATGAACTCTACATGCGAATCATTCTTGATCTTCACTACACCCCTACCACCGGGACTATCGAAAATCACAGAGAGGTGGAGTTTCACGTATGCTGGATCCCAACCAAGTGTCATACAAATTTTACTAATCAATTCATCATATGACAACCTTTGCTCAACAAACAAACCATCATCCAGCATATTCGAAAAAGTGTTGTTGCTACCATTTTCTATCACATGCTTGTATGATACAAATTAAGCATGTATGATACATTACATGCCATTTATAGCTGTTTAAAAAAAAATCAATATCTATTCATTTCTTAATAACAAAATCAACAAATACACCATACATACTCCATTCATAATTCAAAAAACCTATAAAATCCTAAAATACTTATAAATCAATTTGCATATCTCATGAACAACTATGATTTATCACCTCTAACCTCAAAATCAACATCTAAAACATCCAAACAACCACCAAACAAAAACCCTAATCTATCATACATCATTCTAACAATTAAAATAACATAAAACTAAACTAAATAACATGGTTCTGCAATCTAACCTCTTTTAAATAACGATTCCCACGTATCTAGCGGTAAGGTTGCATCAAAAGCTCCAATTCGCCAACCAAGAGCTGCGGAAACTGAAAATCCAATTCAGTTCTCGAATGAGAACTGTCTGATTTTTTTTTCTTTTATAGCACGCTAAACTCGGATTTCCGAAATCCGAATCTGTAAGTAACTCGGATTCCTTAAATCCGAATCATCGTATTCTCGGATTTCAGGAATCCGAGTTTTGTCAATTCCGAATTTTTTATTCCATTTTTTGGTCCTCCAATTTAGGGCAGATGCCTACTTCCACCAACCAAAATTAAAAGCCTTCGGATTTCGAAAATCTGAATTTCTGTATCCGAATTACGGAATTCCGGCTTTTTGGATTCAAAATTTTTTTTCTTTTCTTTTTAATAAATTCGGATTTCGTAAATCCGAATGTAACTGTTTATTTAAGGAGTCCAGGATCTGAACTCCTTATTTGAGTTCAAAAATTTTGCGCCTCAATTTTCTCTTTTTTAAGGCATTCGAATTTTGTATATCTGAAGGAAACTTTTTATTTAAGGAGTCCAGGACCTGAACTCCTTATTTGACTTCAAAAATTTCGTGCCTCAATTTTCTCTTTTTTTTTAAAGTATTCAAATTTCGTAAATCCGAATGTAACTATTTATTTAAGGAGTGTAGGACCTGAACTCCTTATTTGAGTTCAAAAATTTCGCGTCTCAATTTTCTCTTTTTTTTTCAGGCATTCGGATTTTGTAAATCCGAAGGGAACTATTTATTTAAGGAGTCCAGGCATGAACTCTTTATTTGAGTTCAAAAATTTCGCGCTTCAATTTGCCTTCTGTTTTGGAATTCGGATTTTCAAAATCCGAATGTACTGTTCATTTTCTGATTTTTTTTACTATAATTCCACAAAATGTATATAATTATTATTTTAATATTATATGTGAATTCGAATTTCGGAAATCCGAATGTTTAATTTTAATTAGCACTCGGATTTCAGAAATCCGTGGGATATATATGTCCACAAATATTCTTAAAAATTTAAATTTGTCCACTTTTATTTTAATCAATTTTTTTATGGAAAAGTCCCCAGAGTTGATATGCTTCCATAATCAGTTGGCAAATGTAGAAGAAGACCAGCTCCCGTATTAAAGAACATGCACTCTTTAATTACTCCATATTCAGTTCAAAATATATTTGGTTAATATTTCATTTGTATCAAATGCTTTTTTTTAACAACTCAGATTGTACATCATTTCTTCTATTGATAGTGATGATGGCAAATCATGAGTGTTTTTTAAATTGCAAATCGAGCGAAGAAAAATTTCGTATTTCGTTTCAAAGTTCTGCATATTCACTTGCGTATTTCGTTGCAACCATGTTACACTGATAGATACTAGGAAATTATACCAGGAATTCTAGTAGGGAAGGACGTGGCATTCCAATTGTCCTGTCCACCTTTTTTTTTCAATTTGCTTCATAATTTTTTAAAAGAACAAAAAAGACCCAAACTTACCGCTGCCCCCTCTCTCTCTCATCACTCTGTAACCACGTCTCCAATTCCGGTTAGAATCCACCCGCGCAATCATCATCGTCAAGAGCAAAATTTCACTCTCAATCCTCATTTTCACTCTTCATTCCTCAATTGTTTGATTCAATCGGCCGTTCTCGTTGGGAAAAAAAATTTGGGAATCAGAAAATTTCGTAAAAATTCTTCCATGATTTGGGAGGCTTTCTTAGCGGAAGTAGATTGATTTGAACAATTTCAGGTATGACGTTGTAGTGTGTATATCTTGCATCAACAAGAAAGACCAATGTATTCATTGATTTTGAAATTCGATCAGATCTAATGGTTGTCTCTTTGTAGGCTTATATTTTTTGTGTGGTTTTGGTATTAGGATAGAGTACTTCTCTTGGCAAGTTTGATTTTAGTTACTGGGGTTTTGGAGAACCAAGTCTCCTGCCTGGGGAAACAATACGACAGATTGCTGCAATTTGGTTCAGTGGTTGCGAGCTGATCTGTACTAGCATGGCTGAATCGACTGAGGATGGGATTTTCTATACGTGAAGATGTCAGGAGGTCTCTTCTCTCTGTTAGCTCAAGAAAACTTGATGCTCCTAATGATGCTTGATAATATTGTTAACGATTACTTTACTGGGTGTATCAAGTTAATGCTACAGTCCTTTATTTAGATATTTCAGAGTTAGATTAAGTGATTTTTTGTTGCACTCGAAGTTCATCGTTAAATTACAAAGGATTGATAATTCAAACGATGTGTTTCTGCAAACATTGCTTGTTCATCGGTGTTGACACCCTCTTGCAAGCTAAGCCTCACCAAGGTTTTATAAATGGTTTCAGCTAATATTTTTAGCTTTTCAGCAATTTAATGAACCTTGAGTTTCTTCTTGTGGAATCGCCTTAAAGGGCTGAATCTCCTTCTAGTTTTCTCTGTTTTAACTCATTTTGTACTAGTATTTTGTTAGAAGAACTTTATGTTATCAACTGATGTACAAGAATTCTCAGTTCCTAAGTTCATGTCTGGCTTCCGGGTAGAAGAATTCGACCTTGTTTTCTTTAACTCTGAAATTGCGGACCTTGCTTTTGGAGTTTTCATAGCTTCGATAGATCCCTTTGTTGAACATAATCAACTGGCCATGAACATTAGTTGCCAACCCAGTGGCTAAACATTTTGCCTTTATGAAGATGTTTGCAAGGTATTTCAAATGAAGAAGTAGGCTAAGCTGTTCCAAGTTGGAATGATTAAGAATGGCCATAGAGCAACCAAATTGTGTGATTAAACTTTAGTAGTAATGTAGAAACTCTGCGAACAATGGGTGTTGAACATTGCATCTGTGTATATGATTAGCTAGAAAAATATACATTTAGGTACGAAATGCATCGCACAAATTTTTAATATTTCTCTTGTATTCATGGTTTTTGTAGTACCTTTGTTGCAGTAGATGTTCTTGCAATTTTGTCGATAGAATGGGTGATCAAATTTAGAGGACAAACAAAAATCAAGCATGTAATGGAATTCAGTAACAACAAAACATGGGATATAATGAGCAAATATTTAAAAAAACAAAAATCTCAACACTTAAAAAGTAGTTCGTAGTTTCAAATGCACTTCAACTAGATACAATCGTTGAATTCACAATGCACCAAAAAAAGTATGCTTCTTGAAGCTTAATCCCGAAGTCCCAACAAAGCAACTAGTTGAGCTCATTTTCCTCATCCTTAACCGGTGACCACATGTTCTGACGTGAAATCCGTTTCTACGATCTAAAACTCATATGCACAGTAGAAGTTAAAACTTCTTCTAAAGAATATAGAAACACACACACACATATCTGTGCGAAGTTTTAGTTAATTAAATTTTTTTTGTATAGCTTATCACTTTTCCGGCCGTCCTAGACTCACTTTGTGTGAACATCTTTCTTTCTCTGATACACAGGGAAATGTACAATATTGTAAGAGTAGAATGCAAGAGTATTTCAAACAAAGTGACCATCTACATTGGCTAAACCTGTAAATGCAAAAATTTATATTGTGAAAGAATATAAAACTAAAATTTTCAAGATATAACAAACCTTTTGTTGAGCCTTCTTCTCTAACTTCTTCGTAACTTGTTCAACCTTTTTTTGAGCCTTTGTCTCAAGCTTCTTCGCAATTTGTTCACCCTTAGACTCAATTCTGATCTTCTTAGGTGGACGGCCTCGAGACTTCACATGCATAGGAGAATGTATTTTTGCTTGTCTAACCCCTGAATGTGGGGTTGACAAATCACAATTCTTTTCAACCTCCATCTGATCATCAGAATCCATAGCAAAGAGTTTACGTTTTGTCTCCTTCAAAACTTCATACAAAATAGCAAAGGTTTCGTCCTTTTTGGACCCAAGCTGCTTCACTTCTTGAATCAATGGAGTGAGTTTATCGTATCGAGATCATTCTTTATCACAACCATAATCATCGTAAATGTTAGTGATCTTTTGACATCCATGCTTAATATCCTTATGCCATCGATCCAAAACATAAATTGATTGAACGTCAGCCATGTTACTTTTGATAAGCACAGAAATCGCATGCCTACATAAGATGCCATGAAACTCAAATAGACAACATAAATACTTAATGTGACACTGAATCTCATTGTCATGTACCCAGAACTAGACTTTCTTAGGAGGTGCTCCATTTTGTCCCAATGCCGTTTGTACAACTTCAAACATCAACAGTTGGCCTTCTTGTTTCACACATGAGGTATTGCAAAGCATTAACCCTCTCCATTCATCTTGAAACAACTTGAATATATCATTAGTATAGACTCGTTGAAACTGCTCTTCAATGGGATAACCATTAATTAATGGGATGACAGAGTTGAAAGAATGAAAATCTAGGCCTTTTTCTTTCTCTATTTTACTCTTTAAATCATTATCATACTACTCAACAAATTGTTTCAGACTTGTTTTCAAATGAACATAATTATCAAAAAATGCATTCATACTCTCACTTCTTTGAGATGTTGACATTCCTGCACAAAAAGTATCTTTAACATACACAACAATCCATTTTTCCCGCTCCTCATACAGCATATTCAGCCATCCACTTTTCTTCAAACAAAATTCATCAACCATTTTACACCAATTCTCCTCACATTCATCAATTGTAAGAGAATTATAAACAATACTCTTCAATAGCTTTTTTATTGAAGACATAAACGATACTCTTAATTAGCATAACCACATAACTTTGTAGGAATTTTTTTCATGATATGCCAAAGACATAAACGATGGCGAGAATTAGGAAATACCTCTGCAATTGCATTATGAATAGCTGGTACTGGTCCGTGATTATAGCTTTTGCAGCACGTCCTAACATACATGACAACCAAGATCTAAACAACCATATGAAAGTTGGCATATCTTCATTTAATAACATCCGCACCCAAGCAAAATAGACTGGCCATGGTGGTTTACGCCAACAAATGGAACAAAAGGCATGTCATATTTATTGGTCAAATAGGTAGTATCAAATGTTATGACATCGGAAACACAATCATATGCAGCCCTACTTCTTGCATATGCGCAAAAAATATTTTTGATGCGGCAATCACCATCCAAATCCAGTAAGTGGAACAAATTTGGGTTTCGACTTTACATGCGACAAAAATAATTATTCAGTGCTTCACCATTTCCAATGCCTAATCTCAATTTTCTAACTTCGGCGACAAAATTTTCTGCATTTTCTCTCATCAAAAGGCAAATTCTCAAACCCACCGTGTTCCACTACAAGTGATTGAAAACTCTTAGCCACAAGTATTCCAGCTTGATCATTTAACACTAATTTTCTTTTTGCACCTGGATCTATCACTTGATTACTCTTAAAGTGGCGTGACTTTGTAGGACTCAAACCATGGTTGTGATCAAGCGACACACTAGATATCATAAACATGCTATCATTCTGAAGAGTAATATTAATCTTAGCTTTGCATCCCAATTTAATGGTAGGTCGAGGATATAATGGATTTTTTGCCTTAGATTCCCTCTTCTGACCACCTTTGGCACATCCCAGTGTAAAATATTTTAGCTTGCCATTGTCATCTGTTTTATGCCATAACTTGCTAATGCCGAATTCGACATTTCACGCATAAGAATGATAAAAATCATGAACATCTTCTTCAGATGGAAACAACGTCCCAATTTTAGGAACTTTAACTTTCTCATTTGAACTTAAGGGGTCCATATGCTCATCATTTTTATCTTGAACGCCATGAGAATCTGTTTTTTGCTCTTCCATGAAAACTTGTAAACTGCATGTACACAAAAATTCCAACTAATATCAAGCATGTACTCTTGAATTATTAATCCAATGTAAGCTAAGAATGGAAATCCATAGCAAAGTTCACTTAATTTACAATTAGCAACCAAGTAACTAAAATTAAACTTGAGATGGAAAATATTCTATCTTTATACCAAAATCACACCGAAAATGATGATACTTACAAAGAGACCACCCTTTAATCTAATCAAATTTCAAACAAAATGAACAAATTGGTCTTTCTCATTAATCTAACATATAAAAACTAACAAGTCATGCCTGAAATTGTTCAAATATCTTCTTCTGTTAAGAAAGTCTCCCAAATCGGAAAACTATTTTTCTGACTTGTTTGGATTTGCAAATATTTTCTTCTAATGAGAATGACCGGATCAAAAAATTGAATAGTGAAAGATGAAGATGAGGTTTGGGCATGAGAATGACGATGAGATTTGGGAGTGAAGATTTACTCTGGACGATGATGATTGTGCGGGTAGTTTGCCGGGTTTGGGGACGTCGTTAGAGAGAAAGGGCAGTGGCAAGTTTTGCTTTTTCTTTTAAAAAAATTGCAAACTCAAATTGGAAAAAATTAGGTGGACAGTCCAGTTGGAATGCCACATCCTTCCTGCTAGAATTTCTGGTATAACTTCCAGGTACCAATCATTATTATGGGAGAGCACAGATAGGGACCAGGAAATTATACCAAGAATTCTTATCAGGAAGGACGTGGCATTCCAGCTGTCCTGCGCACCTTTTTTTTTCAATTTGCTTTATAATATTTTTTAAAGGAAAACAAAAACAAAAAACAAAGTTACAGCTGTCCCTCTCTCTATCATCACTCTGTAACTACATACCCAATTCCGGTTAGAATCCACCTGTGCAATTATCATCTTCAAGAGCGAATTTTTACTCTCTATTCTCATCTTCATCATTCACTTCTCAATTGTTTGATCCAATTAGTCGTTCTTGTCGCAAAAACTATTTAGGAATCGGAACAATTCGGAAAAATTCTTTTACGATTTTGGAGGCTCTCTTAGCGGAAGTAGATTAATTTTGAACAATTTCAGGTATGATGTTTTAGTGTGCATGTCTTGGATCGACAAGAAAGACCAATTTATTCATTGATTTTGAAATTCTATCAAATCTAATAGTTGTCTCTTCGTAGGCTTATATTTTTTGTGTGATTTTGAAAGTACTTATCTTGGCAAGTTTGATTTTAGTTACTGGGGTTTTGGAGATCTCAGTTAATGATTACTCCCAGAGATGCTCGATAATATTGTTAAAGATTACTTCACCGGGGTGTATCAAGTTAATGTTATTGTCCTTTATATTTAGATATTTCAAAGTTGGATCAAGGGATTTTTGTTGCATAGGAAGTTCATTCTTTGATTACAAGGAATTGATAATTGAAACAATGTGTTTCTGCGAAAATTGCTTGTCCATAGGTGTTGATACCCTCTTGCAAGTTAAGCCTCACCAAGTTTATATAAAATGTTTCAGCTAATATTTTTAGCTTTTCAGCAATTTAATTAACTTTAAATTTGTGCGCTTGTGGAATCGCCTTAAAGGGCTAAATCTCCTTCAGTTTTCTCTATTTTACCTCAATTTGTACTTGTATTTTGTCAGAAGAACTTTATGGTATGAACTGATGTATAGTAATTTTAAGTTCCTAAGTTCATGTCTGGCTTCCCGGATAGAAGAATTTGACCTTGTTTTCTTTAACTGTGAAGTGGATTCCCGACCTTGTGTTTGGAGTTCTCGTAGCTTCAACAGATCCTTTTGTTGAACACAATGAATTGGCCATTCACATTACTTGCCAATTAAGTGGCTAAAGGTTCTGCCTCTATGAAGATGTTTGCAAGGTATTCCAAATGAAGAAGAAGGCTAAGCTACTCCAAGCTGGAATATATGTCTTCAAAATTTGGTATTACCATCAGGCAACCAAATTGTGTGGTTAAACTATAGTAGTAATGTAGAAAATCTACAAACAATGGGTGTTGAACATTGCCTCTGTGCATATGATTAGCGAGAAAAAGGATGGTCCATTAAGGTACAAAATGCATCACACAAATTTTTAATATTTCTCTTGTATTCATTGTTATTGCAGTACCTTTGTTGCACTAGATTTTTTTTGTAATTCTGTCAATAGAATGGGTAATCAAATTTAGAGACAAACAAATATCCAACATGTAATGGATTTCAGTAACAACAAAACATGGGATATACTGAGCAAATATTTGAAAAACAAAAATCTCAACACAAAAAAAAGTAGTTTGCAGTTTCAAATGCCCTTCAACTAGATACAATCTTTGAATTCAAAATGCACCAACAAAAAGTATGGTTATTGAAGCTTAATCCCGAAGTCCCAACAAAGCAAACAGTTGAGCTCACTTTCCTCATCCTTAACCGGTGACCACATGTTCCGACGTCGACAAATCCGTTTCTGCGATCTAAAACCCATATGCATAGAAGAAGTTAAATTTTCTTCAAAATTAGAATATTGAAAGACATACACATATCTCTGCTAATTTTTAGTTGAATTTGTTTGTATAGCTTTCCACTTTTCCGACCATCTGAAACTCACTTTGTGTCAACACATCTTTCTTTATCTGATTCACAGGAAAATGTACAATATTGTAAGAGTACAATGCAAGAGTAGTTCAAACAAAGTGACCATCAACTTTGGGTAAACCTGTAAATGCAAAATTTATATTGTGAAAGAATATAAAGCTAAAAGTGTTCAAGATATACAAACCTTTTGTTGAGCCTTCTTCTCTAACTTCTTCGTAACTTGTTCAACCTTTTTTTTGAGCCTTAGTCTGTAGTTTCTTTGCAATTCAATTCTCATTTTCTTAGGTGGATGGCCTCGAGACTTCATATGCATAGGAGAATGTATTTTTGCTCGTTTAACCCTTGAATGTGGGGTTGATAAGTCACAATTCTTTTCAACCTCCATCTGATCATCATAATCCATAGCAATGAGTTTACTCTTTGTCTCCTTCAAAACTTCATACAAAATAGCAAAGGTTCCGTCCATTTTGGACCCAAGCTCCTACACTTCTTGAATCAATGGAATGACTTTATTGTATCGAGATCTTTCTTCATCACAACCATAATCATCATAAATGTTAGTGATTGTTTGATATCCACGCTTAATATCCTTGCCCCATCGATCCAAAACATAAATTGATGACGCTCAATTGGTTTTTTATTGTCTTATAATTAGCATAACCACATAACTTTGTAGGAACTTTTCATGATATGCCAAAGACACAAATGATGGAGAGAATTTGGAAATACCTATGCAACTGCATTCTGAATAGCTTGGCACTGGTTCGTAATTATAGCTTTTGGAGCACGTCCTAACATGCATGACAACTAAGATCTAAACAACCATGTGAAAGTTGGTGTATCTTCATTTGATAACAATCCACACCCAAGCAAAATAGACTGCCCATGGCGGTTTACGCCAACAAATGCAGCAAAAGGCATGTCATATTTATTGGTTAAGTAGGTTGTATCAAATGTTATAACATCGGAAAAACAATCATATGTAACCCTACTTCTTGCATCTGCCCAAAATGTTTTTTTGATGCGGCAATCACCATCTAAATCCAGTAGGTGGAAGAAATTTGGGTTTCGACTCTGCATGCGACAACAATAATATGTAGCCCTACTTCATATGTAGCCCTACTTCTTGCATCTGCCCATATGTAGCCCTAATTATTCAATGCTTCACCGTCTCCAATGCCTAATCTCAATTTTCTAACTTCGGTGACAAAATTTCTGCATTTTCTCTCATCAAAAGGCAAAGTCTCAAACCCACCGTACTCCACTGCAAGTGATTGAAAACTCTTAGCCATAGGTATTCCAGCTTGATAATTAACACTAATTATCTTTTTACACCGGGATCTATCACTTGATTACTCTTAAAATGGCGTGACTTCGGAGGACTTAAACCATGGTTGTACTCCAGCGACACACTAGATATCATAAACATCCCATCATTCTGAAGAGTAACATTAATCTTAGCTTTGCATCCCGATTTAATGGTAGGTCGAGGATATAATGGATTTTTTTGCCTTAGATTCCTTCTTCTTACCACCTTCGGCACATCCCAGTCTAAAATATTTTATCTTGCCATTGTCATCTCTTTTATGCCATAATTTGCTAATGCTGAATCCGACATTTTGCGCATAAGAATAATAAAGACCATGAACATCTTCTTCCGATGGAAATAACACCCCAACTTCAAGAACTTTAACTTTCTCATTTGAACTTATGGGGTCTATATGCTCATCATTTTTATCTTTTATGCCATGTGAATCGGTTTTTTTGCTCTTCCATGAAAACTTGTAAACTGCACGTACACAAAAATTAAAACTCATACCAAGCATGTACTCTTGAATTATTAATCCAATGCAATCTAAGAATGGAAATCCAGAGCAAAAGTTCCTTAATTAACTATTAGCGACCAAGTAACTAAAATCAAACTTGCGATGAAAAGGGATCTATTTTAATACCAAAATCACATCGACAATGATGAAACTTACAAAGAGACCACCCTTTAATCTAATCAGATTTCAAACTCAATGAACAAATTGGTCTTTCTCATTAATCTAAGATGTAAACACTAATAATTCATACCTGAAATTTTTCAAATATTTTCTTCCATTAAGAAAGTCTCCCAAATCGCAAAAATATTTTTCCGAATTGTTTCGATCCGCAATTTTTTTTTTCTGATGTGAATGACCGGTTTGATAAAGAAAATGAAGAGTGAAAGATGAAGATGAGGTTTGGTTGTGAAGAATGAAGATGAGGTTTGGGAGTGAAGATTTATTCTGAATGACGATATCGCGCAGTTAGTTTGCGGGTTTGGGGACGTCACAGAGAGAAAGAAAAGCGGCAGGTTTTTTTTTTCTTTTAGAAAATTGTAAAAACAAATTGGAAAAAATTAGGTGGATAGTCCAGCTGGAATGCCACGTCCTTCCTGGTTAGAATTCCTGGTATAACTTCCACATACCAATCATTTCCCCTCTTGAAATAAATAGGTACTATACATGTTAAATTTACAATTACAAACATAATATTTAAAATGAAAAGGATTAATTAACTTTTAACATCAATTTTTTTTAAATCAAATAAAAAATCGACTTGGTCATACAACGAGATTCCCGTACTCAATGTATTAACTATTGCACCACTATTTTTTACATTAATAATTTAATAATTCTTAATATTTGTTGCATATCTATTTGTTTTATTATGCGTGTTAAGTTACACATTTTAAATCGATTATCTCAAAAACCCATTTGATGTGTCATCTTTAACCTTTCATTTCATAGTGAAAAAGAAAATCAAATATAATTCAACTCCTTAACATAGAACCCAATAGAAACAAGCTATTTTTAAACTTTCTCGTCCAAGATAAATATTCTAACTAATATACACGGTAACTGATCTACAATAAGATTTGGATCTTTTTCTTTTGTAGTAAACTATTTCAAATAGATCTACTCAATGAATCATTTAATCTCTTTCATTTCAAAATCAAAGAAGTGCGCAATTGTTATTTAATTTCTTAATATAATCTACTATTAGTCGTCAATTTTAATTGTCTACACTTTTTCATTAATTCTTTTTTGAGATTGCTGCTGCTTTTTATGTTACTGTAGAAAGCTTGCACTTTCAAAATTTCATATGGTGGTACTCTAATTTGAGATTGGATAAAAAGAGGAGGGTTTTGTTTGGTAAATTAAATTTTTTTTACATTATAAACTCGGATGGAGTAACGAATATGTACTGATAGAACACATTGAAGAGAAATGATCTTTTTACCTGATTCCATCTCATATAATTGGATAAAAACATGATCACTGATATTGTTTCTGAATGGCACATTAAAACATGAGAAATGCACAATTAAAAGCATGGGTTACATCTGTGTTTCAGATTTTTGTTATAGAGTATGATTTTCATGCGGCTGCAATGGCATTTAGTTTAGATTCCATTTATTGAGGAATATTTAATAAGAGTAATAGCCAACTCATCGCATCTGCTTAAATTAAAGTAGGCCGGAAATCTTAGTGCCACCATTGAGTGAGTTCCTTACCATTCGTGAAAAGAGATAAACTGGCATGGTGTGTTCGAATCTGTGAAAATGTTGGCCACGGTAAACAAGCAGTTTAAAAGAAAAGCTAACTGGTGGATGTCTTCAGTCTTCTCATGTAGCTCCAAACCTACATTTTAAAAGAAAAGCTAGCAGATGGCCACTGTAAATAATCTTTGTTAATTTTTCTGAGACTGCAAATATTGTGCACCTGGTAGGGAAACTAATTTGAAATAAACTTATGTTACATGTAAAGAGAAAACATATTCTTTGTTTACTATACCCAACGAGGAAAGAGTTTCTAATAAAAGTAATAAATTTGTGCTACGAATTGATAATGCCCTCGGCATGGAAATCAATTTAAGAAAATGTGGTTTCTCTTCTATACACATACCATGGAAATCTAACTATTACAATTTCAAATACAAAATAAATAAGAATAAAAAAATTAATAAACACATTGGTCGCGTGTTTAGGGATAGGACTATTCCACGTCTTATGATTTAAAACTAACAAATCTACTCTTGATTCTTCGGCTTCAATCTTGTCATATGTGGTTAAGGAAAATAATATTATCTTTGTTCAATTTGAAGCCTTGATAGCAAGAATGACTGAAATCTAGATGGTAAAAGTACACATATTTGTTTTTTATATAAAAAAAACTATGTCAAACGAACTCCACTCATTATATTCTCTGTAATTTTCATTTCATAAGCAAACAAGTGTGGAATTGTAATTCAAATCTTTAATATTTTACTCAATAAAAAAAAATTGAATTTTACGTTTTCTCATTGACTATTAATTGTAAAGATAAATATTTTGACTATTTATTGATTATAATAGATTTCCTCAAACAACAGTGATGAAATTTGAGAAGAATAAGCACCAACGCGCGACAAGAATAGACCAGTTTCTTAACCATTTTTATTATTTGTAACATGAAGTAGTGATATATTAATTAATTAGTAATTGGTTAAATGAAATGAAATTTCTGTTTTATATATATTAGTACTTGGATTGAAATGATTCAAAGAAATAGTGAGCCACGACAGTAGGAATAGGGTAGCATTAGGTCGTAGAAATAATAAACTTAGGTAGTGCGCCACGACAGTAGTAACATCACTTTTGGGGGTTGTAATTCCAATGGTCTTAGTGAGCTTTTCTTAATCCCTGTAGTCACGATAGTAGTCATGAGTTAATTTGAGTAATAGAATTACAACACAAGAGTGTATAATTCTTAAATTGGTCAATTATCGTGAGATTAATGAAAGTTCAAAATCACATATCTGTCAAGCCAGGTAGTCGATAGTAGGTGAACTCTTTACCCTAGGTTTTATTTTTACTTATTTAAATCTTTAATTAAATATAATAATTAGTTTTAGGTTTACTTTAGTTTGAAAATCATTATTATAGTTTATCTAACTTAAAAAAGAAAGTTTTAACTTGGTTCTTGGTTTCCTTCTCTTCTTTGTAGGACCGACCCTACTTTCTGCTTTACTACTAGTAATTGTGTTAAGTAAGTAAACATTGTACCCTATTTTATTAAGTAAAACTAGTTTTAGTCACGTGGGTTAAAAGTATAATTTTGGAGAAAAAAATAAAATTTTGACTGCAAGTTCCAAAAAAATAAAAGGGTTATTATACAAACACACATTTTTTTCCCACTATATATTTTAACTAAACATATCATTTTCCTCAATTTTATTTTTAAATTTCCGAATAGCAAAGAGGATGTAAAAAAATAAAAATGTTAAAAAAACTGAAATTGTCTTGAATTTACATTGCAAAAAGAAAGGAATAAGACAGACACAAAAAATTATTAGCAAATTTCCATGCATATTTCATGCTACCAAAGAGGATATAATAAAATAGAAATGCTAAGAATATTGAAATTGTCTTGAATTTACATTGCAGAAAGAAAGGAATAAGATACACACACAAAAAACATAATTAGCAAATTTCCATGCATATTTCATGATGAAGTCTTCATCATCGACATGTCTACGCGATATCGGATCAAGGTTTATCTATGACCAGGCGTGACATGAGGATATCATCAGATCTAGCGATAGGTTCTAGCTCTCTTCAATTTCAAAGCAAGCAGCTCCAGTAAACATTGATGCCGTAGAATTTCATTCCTAAGTACGAGCTATGTAATTCCATAACCTTCTGCTAAAATATATGGCTGCACACATTTTAAAATAACGTTTTCGGAAATGAAATGTAATTATATGATCATGTGTGGTTACCAAAACTAGATTTCCAAAATCTTGTGCAACTCAATATTTGGTTAGAATGTTATACTTTTTTTTGCAGGAAAAAATAAACTAAAAAAGTAAAAGATCTGGTAAATAATCTTAGAGTTAAATATGCAATACTATCACCATTAAAACTCATCTAAATTACCATTTTGTTTAGCACATAGGTTGCACCGGTTGTACCATATTTTATTAAAAAAAACTA